ACCTCCCTTGTGTAGGTTTAGCTTGTACCTGTAAGTTGACCAATGCACACTCAACTGAAAAAAGCCAGGTGTTTTGAATCGAGTCCCTCCACACAGATTTTTGCACTGGTTTAACTAAATCAATTTTAAAAAAACCAAAACCCTCACACCTTTAGCTAAACTGGTGCAACTCTGTCTTCACTGCAGAGCTAGTGCAGCTGATCTGCGCCGGGTCTGAGCACCTCAGCTAGCCTCACCTGGTGTTAACCGCCAACTGCAAACCACACCTGAGTTACCGCGTCCTCACTGGCGCTACCCTCCCGTGTCCCTTGCCAGGACATGCGCCGCAGTAAGCTGAGCCGCTTTGTGATTCCTGTGCAGTGGGTTGTGGGAGAACTCATCCGTCACTCTGGGCACATGGGAGGAATTGTGGGAATGCACTGGACGAATATCAGCATTCCAGTGATTTAGACTGGGTCCTCACTGCAAAGTGGGCAGGCTGCCCGTCTGAGTCTAAGTGGAAAGTGGGGTCTAACACTCACCCCACGCTGGGCTAGCTAGCCCAGATTAAAAGCACCACTTAACTCAGGTGAGAGATTTCTGTGAGTGGGGGATTGGGGCAACCCCCAATTAAAGAGCCACCGCTTCACCTGTGCAGTGAAGACAGACCGTGTGGTTGTGGGTCAGGCTTTAATCTCTCTGGCTGTGCTTATCAAAGGAGCCGAAAGGAATTGTCACCCAACCTCCTAAGGCTACTTTGAAAATCCCAGCCCCCGTGGCTCAGTTTCCCCATCTCTAAACTACCAATTCGTGGCACAGCTGAAGTTGATGTGGGTTGAAGGTGTCCAGCATCTCTTAGGAGCAGGCCTAACAGGATATGACCAGAGTCCTAGGGATGGACATAGAAACCTGGCCATACGGAGGAAACGAACCCCAAAGCCAGGAAGACCCCATTTCCAAGCCAGTGCTTTGGAGGGAGTGCAATAAAGGAAGCTGACTGAATCAAAGCAGAATTGTCCTGCATTCGTTTCCTTTTCCAGGAGGTGTCAGTGAGTCTTTTAATACAAAATCACACCAAGCCAACTTATGGACCTGACCTGGCTTAGTGCATGGTAGCGAATTATCTTCAAATGCCTCATGCAGCAACTGACTTGGGGCCTGATTTTTGGAAGCGCTGCACGCCCAGAACTCCAACCAAAGCTAACGGTAGCTATTGGTGCTCAGCACTTCTGAAAACAAGGGCCCTAGCATCCCATTGCAGCCGAGTGGACAGAGCACTGGACTGGGACTCGAGAGACCTGGGCTCTATTCCTGGCTCTGCCACTGGCCTGTGCTGGGTGACCTTGGGCAAGTCACTCTCCTGCTCCATGCCTCAGTTTCCCCACCTGTAAAATGCGCATAGTGACACCGACCCATCGTTGTAAAGCGCTTTGAGATCCACTGTTGTAAGAGCTAGGTATTATGAACTAGCCTTTAATCCCCATGGTCTCTCTGTCTTCCCATCTTATAAACCCGGGCTACCTTTGCGATCCCCCAGCTCCTTTCCTGTGGTCTACAAGGGTTTCATAATAGCTGGAAGCCCCTTTATAAACCTGAACCATTTAAATTCCCAGGCAACACGTTTCTTTTCTCCTCTCCCTGGGCCATTGGGTTTAGGAGGCAAGAAAAGTTTAGCAGAATCGCATGCATGAGGGCAACAGGAACGTACAACACAACACAACACATTGCACCTCCAGGGTGCCTTCCATCTTAGGTTCTTACCCCACACCCACACCACTAGTCTGGCTGAGGATCTCAGAGCATTTTGCAAACATTCACTTAGTCTCCACCCAAAGAGACAGGAAATTATACCCCGATTTGTACTGATCTTGAGATTGAGGCTCTGGGAGTCTCGCTGCCTTGTCCAAAAATCATGCCTGCTCCATGGCAGCGCTGGGAACAGAACCCAGATCTCTTGACTCTCAGTTCTTAACCGCAAGACTACCTTTCCTTCCTGCACAGATACGTGAACATGCCCATGTATTAAGAGAACTACGCTCAACCCAACAGTTTACCACATCCCCAGCTGCCAGGCCTTGGGGCGGAGGAGAGCAGCGTTAAGAGACTACTACATTTCACTGTCCAATTGCTTTAAAAACAATGGCTGGGACTGGCAAAAGAGTTAGGTGCCTGGCTCCCACTGGCTTTCATCTAATCCACCCATACCATAGAGCGTAGGCCTGGGCTGAATCAGGGCCGTTAGTCACTTCAGTCGTTTTAAAGGCTGTTGGGTGCTTTTCTTCCCTGGAAGGAGAGCCTTCTTTCAGCAGCATACCAGGCTGAAGGAACGGCATACACCTCCCCATGGTGCTTCGCTCTAAGACAACACCAGAACAGCAGGGGAAGCTCATGATAACGGGGGAATCTCTGCTCGGATGCAGAGTCTCCTCTAACCTCAGCTTTAATGGCTTTGCATTTCTGATGTAATTAGCATATAGGAACCAGCAGCAAGACAGCAGCAGGCTTGTGTGGGATGGAAACAAATCTAGGCCTAAAGGAGTGGCTGGATACCTTGTACCAAGGGAGACTTGATCTTCCCCGTCTACGGTCAGGTTGAAACTCTCAGAGTGGCAAGATCTAGCACGGGACAAAATGAAAACATCCTTTTACAGCACATGGCAACACACGCACACTATGGCAAGTGCAAAGAGGCTGTTGCTCTCGCTGGCCAGCAAATGTTCTCACCCTGTTACTGAAGCTTGCGGGAATAACGGCTTGAGATTCAAAGGCTGGGGGAGGGAAGCCTGAATTCTGCTCTGACAAGGAAATCTGGAAAAATGGCACCATGGGGGTTCCATGATTGCCTCTCAAACATCAACTCTGCCCAGTTTACAAGATGGTATTTTTCCTCTTCCTCCCCTTCCAATGCCCAGCCCTGCATACTCATTTGGGGCCCCGAAAGAGTCAAGCTGGGCTTTTTCTGCCTTGTGCTTGCCACAAAGACCCAGGCCTTGGTTAACAATTCTGTAGACAATGCATCAGGCTGAAGAGACCTCAGCTCCTGCTTTCTGACTTATGTCAGCTGGGCACTGCTACCTGGAGTAACAAAGGAACACCAGTGTACTGTTGACACTAAAGCAAAGAGATAAATCTCTGGATATGCAGGGAGCAGATCTGTGGGGTAACAAGGTGCTGTTTTAACAGTCACTTTCAGAGATCTGCTCCTACTGTGTCATTTACTCTGTCAGGCAAGGACTGGATCTCTTTTTTTATACAGGGTCCGGGCACACTGACAGCTCTCAACACAATAATGCAAGGAAATCACAATGCAGCGGCCATCATGGCACGTCACTGTACGTTTTACTCTTCATCCTCTCCCCTATTGCAATACCCAACAGAGCTAGCCATCCCGGGTAAACATCACTTGGCCCACGATTTCCTTAGACAGACATTCCTTTTGGACATTCTTTTAACTGATTTCACAAAGGCCAAAGGTGGACACAAATCAGCGAAATTCACACCTAACCAAGTGTCAGATCTGTTTCTTAGAAGCATGTGGAATAGGGCTATTCTGGGCCTGGACTATTCCTCCGCAAAGGCAGCATCACAGCATAAAGAGCCAAAACCCTCATTCGTTTCTCAGCCTGTCCCCAGGCAGAATTCCCATTGAGTTTGGCAGAATCTGACCCCGAAGGAACAAGTTAATTTCCCTGCTATTCAGTTGTTGGGTGAATCGGCCCTAACATGGAGGAGAAAAGGTTAAAGGAGGGAGTCCCAAGGTTTGTTACTTTCCAGGCATGAGTCTGTGGCAATTTCAAAACTCATCACACATACATGCAGCCACTGCCAAGCAGGGCTTCTCCTTTGGGTGCAATATTTCACATTCCTTTGGGTGTTTATATCACAGGTTGTGTTCCAGATTACAAAACCTCTGAACAAACAAGTTCTTCCAACCCAGATTCCAGGGCCAGAGACTAAATTAGCTTTTAAAACAAAACAGGGTGCCCGCTTGGGGAAGAAATCCCACAATTCTCGTCAGAGTATGATAAAATCGTTTCAACTGAGCTGAATACTGTAGGTAGAAGAAACATTTTTTAAAACGAGGCATGCTGGGTTTTGGATTCTGTATAACTCAGGAGCCTTTTGTGAAGCTTATGGGTGATCAGGATAAAAACAAAAACAAAACAAAAACGTTTTTTGGCAAAACCCTCAAGAAGTGTTTTTTAAAAAAAAATGCTCTTCCTTTCGAGAGGGGGTGAAATGCAACAGGAAGGAGACAAGTGCGTATCAAAACGAGAAAGAAAATAAAAAAAAAGAGTTTGGTTTCCTTACCTGGGGATAAGGTGGGTGAGAAACATTGTGGAGCAGCTAGAATTCGAAGATTTCCACCCCCAAAAAAGGGTTACTTTCTTACTAATCTTTTTGTGAAGACCCCATTGCTTGGCCCTCGCTTAGACGAATGCGACTCAAAGCCCGAGCCTGTTGATAAGCCACGGGACTAGCTACACTGGAGTGCGCAGTGGGTGTTTTTTATTCCTGCTGCAGTCCATTGAGCTGCAAAGCAGCATCCAGCCCTGCCTCGTGCCTCTCAACATGTCTGTGACCCCCAAGGGCAAAACAGAGAGCAGATCCGGACTCAGAAACCCCAAAGCCCCTCCTCTGTTGCTCGGGGGTCTCATTTTGTACTCACTTTCAGCTGGGATTTGGACACTTTGCCACTTTTCTCCACATCCAGGGCGGTGAAGGCGTACCAGATGGATTTTAAAAGCTCTGCTCGCAGGTCCATGGCTAGAGGCGCGGATGACAGAGCCTGCTCTGTCAGCGAGGAGGATCCGGTTTCAGGAAACTGACTCTCTCGCTCCAAGTCCTCAGAAACCTGCAATTAGAATGGAGGAGCAGCAGCGCCACCTACTTGACTACACCTCGGATAGGCCCCACGATGTCATCTTCCTGCCTAGATGACAACACTCACCTTTCTGCTCTCGACAGGGGGCATTAGTCCACCTTGCTCGCCTCTGCATTCCCTTCCCTCGTAAGCCCCCAGATTTTAGGCACACCACAAGACTTGGGACTGGATAATACTTAGCACTTAGCCTGCACATGCTCAAAGCACTGTAAAACACATTGATCTGTTAGCTGGCTCCCTAAAGCCAGCCTGGTTGGTAAGACACATTGTAATGATCTCACAGTGGGACTCAGACCATTAGCCTCAGCACATGCTTCCCAGATTCCCAGTGCTCATGCGGCTGCTGCATGTGTTCTGCCGACAACCTCTGCTAGGCATGGCGCTTCAGTGCACCCGCAAAGGGGGAACGAATGTCATTCGAAGGGCGGAGAAATTTTGCTTTTGGCTCAGTTTGAAAACAGGCCCGAGAATCCCAGTTAGTGGGAATTGCCGAGGGGTTGGTGAGGTGTCCCAGCTCTGCAGCAACTCAGCCACGAGACCTAAGGGTTACCCCAAAACCTTTTATCCATGGCAGAGGAAGAAATCCCTCCCTGGCTAGTTCAAAAAGTAGCTCTCCATTTGCAGGTTTAAATACAGAGGACAGTCCCCCCTCAGCACTAGCACAGACCGGTGCAGTCCAGGAGAACTCAACCCAATAGGAACTTCTGTTAACTCCCGTCAGGCTCGCTCTCTCTCTCACACACACACTCTCTCTCTCTCTCTCTCAAGGGAGGTGATGGAGAAGGGCAGAGGCGTCTGATGAGTGGAGTTATTGGTGTGTCTCAGAGGAGGCTGCGTGCCTGGCCCTGCCCCCCGCAAGATCTTCATCCTTTTACAGCCTCCGCAGAGTTGGAGACAACCTACTGACAAACAGGACTACGCAAGTCCTAGGGGAAGAAGAATGGTTTAAATCGCAAGGCACTGGACAGGAACTGAGGAGATCTGAGTTCTACTCCTGGGAATACCCATGGTGAAGATTTCGAAGCCAGCGGCACATGTCCCTTTGTCCATTCACTACTCCCTACTTTTGGGTGGCTTCCTGTGTGATCTTGGACAAGTCAATTAATCTCCTTAAACCTCAACTCCCCCCAGCTGTAAAATAATAATAATCCAGACCTACCTCACAGGGGCGTGGGGAGGATAAATCGACCAATGAGGTGCTCAGACACTACCAACAAGGTCCATGTAAGTTTCTAGATAGACAGAAAATGAATGGGAGTGGGGAAGGTGCCTAGTAACTGACCAATGAGCACACAGAGAAATTGTAACACCTTCAGGCTGAGCCCAGGCCCAGAAAAGGGGAGACAGCCCCCTAGGGAGAGATTCTTTAGGATCTACTAGAGGGTCTGACTGGATTCAAATGCTAACATTAGCCTGTAAGAGAAATAAGCTCCTGGGACGTCTGGGAGACGCTGTTCAGCTGATTGGCACAATCGCCTATTGCTGAGGCACAGGGGATGCTGCTTAGGTCCTTACTGGTTTGGCGACCAAGCCCCTAAGACGGGGCAGGGAAGAGAAAAAGAATGTAAACTTAGAAGCTTTATTAAGTACATGTCAACCTCCCCCTCCCCCCCACGGGCTGCAGGGATTGAAAGAGAAAGAGGAAAGGATATTTAAAAAAAAACAAAACTTTAATTAGTTTTATTTAAACTCACTATTTACATCTAACTCTAGCTTGTGCCCCGAGAAGTGCTGGCCTGCCCACGTGGAGTGCTCTACCCTCCCCACAGCAGCTGAGTCTGGAAATGAATTTGGCTGTTGAGTCAAAAGGGAGGGGGGTAAGGAGAAAGGGAGAAGTGCTGTCACATCCAGGCTAATGTGGATCCTGCCGCCCTCAGCTTGTGCCGGTGATAATCTCTGACTTCCAGCGTCAAGAAGTGATCGTCGTCCAAAACACCGAGACCAGGACAGCCTGGGGTTGCTTTGATGGGGCTTTATTGCTTCTGTGCATATGCTGCTTACGTGCCACTTGTGTTTGTATTTCCGGGGGAGGTGGATGTCAGACCATCTGTGTTCATCCCTGGAGCACCTAGTGAGAGAGAGCAGGAACTGCCTCGCCAAAATGATCACTGACTCCTGGTGGTGCCCTGAAGCTATGGTCTCTGCAGTTCCATGCGGGGTGTAGCAGATCATCTTGCCTTGGAATTCCAACCCTTGGCCACAAAGGAACACAAGAGCTTCCGCCCTGCTCCGGACCCAGGGGACGTCAGTGTCCCTGGAAAATGAGAGGATAGTCCTGGATGGCAGCAGAGCGACTGCCCGGGATCCAGGAAAGCTTTGAAGCCTCCAGACAGATTTCTTAGAAAGATGTCGCTGTAAGCGATAGGAGAGCCCTTTAAACAGGGTCACTCTGGCAGCCCAGAGAGCTCCTGTATGTGCTCTCGCTGCCTGCCTAGCACACAAGCTGGATGCACGTAACAGTTATCAGGGACCCCCTTCTGCATTCACGGGTTGTACCACGCATTACAGTTTGTCTTCTGTGCAGCAGCCGGGGGGGCTGTTTCAGATCCTGAAACCCCCAACCGAACACGAGGGGCCATTTGATTGCCATCCCTGCTCCACTCAAGCCTCCCTGTCCACAGGTTGCGCAGTGCCTCAGCACCCGTTCTCAGACACGGTCGCATTGAGCGTTACAGACTCCTGCTGAATTGCTGCTGTTGCCATGCTGATGGCTTCCTCCAGGCTCTGCTGCTCTTCCAGCTACAAGAGGAGACACACGAACGAATGGTATCATTCTCCCAAACGCGCAGACTGAGTTAATCTGTATTTTACCAGGACAGCCCAGGGGCAGAGATGCAAGAGGGCTGGGGTGAGGTAGAAGACAAGGAGTGGGGAACATGGGTGCAGAGGATAGAGGAATACCAAGTGCTGGGGCAAAGCAAAGGGGAAGGAATACGGGTGCTGGGAAAGGACAGACATATATAGGTGAGAGGAATACAATCGGTGGGCAATGGGTTCAGAGTAGGAGGAACACAGAAAAAGGGAGTTGCAGTGGGGCATAATGGAGCGCTGTGTGTTTAGGAGACTGCTGTGAGGCAGGCAGGCACTATCAGTACCTCGAAAGGGGGAAGATCATGGGTGATGGGGGAAGGCAGATAACAAATAACAATAGATGTTACTGAAATATTACAAGGAAAGGTACCAGGACAAGGCAGGTGGGAGCTGAGTACACAGGTGGACATAGAAAACAGCTGGGACTTAAAAGGGAAGAACACTGAGGAGAGGGACACAGAGGCCGCCATGAAATCCAGGTGCTGAAGCAAGCACCTTGAGCAGGTCTGAAATTGATGCAAGTGGGGAGGGAATCTGAGCAGAGTGATTGCACAGGAGCAAAGCTCAGCCCTGGACAGGGTGTCACATGGTACCTGCACTGCAATATGAGTGCCGCAGGCAGTTGCGAGCAATGCCACTTGCTGGTGATGGAGGGATGCGATGGCTGACGCTTCAGACATCACTGCCCCAGCGGTGACTATCGTAACCTGGAAAACAGACAACCAAATAAATTACATGCCCAAAAGGCCTCTTCATGCCCAGAACAGTTCTGAGTGAGTAAGCAGAAAGAAGCCCGTACCGGCTGCGTCTCAGTCCCATCCGCACTGACCATGGTGACGGTGTGTGTGCCGGAAGCCGCAAGGTCTTCCTGTGGCATTGTGATGGTGCCACTCTGCGTTACCATGCTGATGGCACTGCCCAGTGCCTGTAAGTCCTCGTGGGACAGACTGACCTGTGACGAGAAAACAAATGGTCAGCCATCAAAGGGTTAACAGGGCACAACTTGCACCCAGGTGGGTTTCCAAGGGGGCTGTCCTGCTGGACAAAGAGGATACCGTGGGGGTACCAGCTGCCCCTCTGTCCGCCCCTCTTCTTTATCCCACTTTGCTTTTCTCCAGTGCTTCCCATGCAAGACCGTAAGCAATTCCTGAGTTTGGCAGCACAACTCCCATGAAGAAGGGAAGGACCATGACTCCATGTTACAGATGCATGACCCAACGCATAGAGAGGTGAAGTGACTTGCCCAAGGTGACATATAGTCAGTGGCAGAATCTGAACTAGAACCCAGGAGTCCTTCTCCCAGTCCCCAGCTCTCATCATTTGACCTCATCTCCTTCCCACTTTAAGCATCTTCTGCCATGCTCATGAGGGGCAGTTAGTTAATTTTCTGTGCCAGCCTCATAAGCAAATTGAGGAGCTATTCTCAGCAGCTACTTCCTGAGCCCTGTGCTGCAGAAACAGACTTCCACATTTAGCCCTCAAGCCCTGCTGCAGAAGGCTGTGTTTGATCAGCGAGGGGGCATGGCCAGTGGTTACAGGGATGTAATTTAAATAGCAAGCAAAATACAATCCAAATCCAGCCAACGCCAACAGAGACTGAAAGCTGCTACCACCAGATGAACGCTCAGTGGCCAATGGCAAATGTGTTTGGTGAGCCTCAGGCAGCTCCCACAGGACAAAAAGCACTTTACTAGCGGCTCTCTCAGCAGAGGTCAAGGAAACTGAAACCTCCTTTGCCCTCCATGTCAAAACTGATGCATGAGGGCAGGGACGCGTGGAGGAAGCTTGAACTGGTTCTGCCCAGACTGCACCAGATTGATGGTTACAGCCTGCTGCTCTCCAGCATCTTTCAGCACACGGCACTCAGACAAAAATGAACCCTAAACTCAAAGCTAAGATGAAGCCCGGCCCACATCGCACACCCCGACGCGAGCGACCGACCATGTCTACCTAATGGTAAAGGAAAGGACCCGACAGCTGTCCAGGAGGATGGAGAACATGTGGCTGTTAAAGGCAGTGACCAGCTCTGTTAGCTGTACCCCGAATTCTCCCTGGTCTCTGTACCTGCTGTGTTCCATCCTGAGAGATAAGTGAAACCTGGGTAGGTATCCCATCCTCCTCCTCCTCCTCCTCCGAAAGGAAAGCAATCTGCTGGCGCTTCAGTGGGGGGCCCCGCTCTGCAGCCGCAGCAGCTGGGCAAAAGAGAAAGGAAGTGCCAGTGAGAAGGGCAGCATCTGGATGTGGCACTATCTCTATGACCCTGGGATCTACCTGCTCTCTGACGGGATAGGACAGCGCAACAGATAAGAGCATGGGATCATAATGACAATGGCACGAGGTGGGTCTGGAAGGTGGGGCTTCGCCTGAATGGCTGCGGGCCTAGGATGGGGGCTCCTTCCTGTAGAGCTGGGTGTGAGCGAGGGGAGGGGCTGGAGGCCCAGGCTGGGGGGGCTCAGTCTCTCCCTTTGTTGCACTGTCTAATCCGAGCCCTGCCTGGGCTGCAGGAGGACGTGGCCCGCACCTTCCAGCTGCTGCTGCTCGTAGAGAGCCTGCTCGCTCTCCTCCGTGGCCTCCAGCTCTCCGTGGGCGCTGCGCTTGTGCATGGCCAGCGTGGAGGTCTGGCGGTAGGTCTTCCCGCAGTTGTTGCAGGTGTAGGGCTTGCAGTGGGTGTGGACCACGTGGTGTTTGTACAGACTGGAGTACTCAGTGAAGCGTTTCCCGCAGCCCGGCACAGTGCACATGTACGGCTTCTCGCCTAGGACAGGGAAAGAGGCGGTCACGCAACAGGGTGGGGCCACAACAGCACTAGGCATGCTGTCAACGTTGCAGCTGGCACAAGCATTACATTCATCCTCACCCTGCCAAGGGGCGGCGTAGGGATTCACCCCTTTTCACATGGGAAACCAAGGCACAGAGAAGCCAGAGGATTTGGCTAAGGTCACCCCGTGAGTCAATGGCAGAGCCAAGAACAGACTCCATTAGTTCTGCCTCCCAGTCCTGGGCTCTGTGAAGCATTTTCCAGGCAGATCTCCCTCCACTCTGCATGGCCTGGTGTGTCTCTCTCGTAGACACACGGATCTGTAGAGCCTTTGCTACCTTTATGGAGCATTTTATTGGTCTATTTTACAGGGGAGAAGTGGGCTACAGAACCTCAGCCCCGCAGCAGTTAACTACTAGAGTTTAAAAAGGTAAGGGCGATCAGCTACCATGCTTCCGGGCATAAAAGCTGACAGAAGGTCAGTGTCAGGAAGGGAGCTTTTCGCCTGCAGTACAACCGTGCAGGTCCATCACAGAGGATTGTTTTGCTTTCCTCTGATCACCACAGCAGGAAGCAGGATACTGGAGTTGATGGAACAATAAACTGGCCCAATAAAGCGAGTCCTATGACCTTCACTGCCTTACCTACCCTCAAAATCTGGAAAGGGAAAATTTGGCCAGGTGATAGAAATCTATGGAACTGGACAGCTAGCTATAGGCAATGTTGTCACTTGGCTATGGACTCAGTTGTCTTTCCTACAGGGGGAATTATACCCTCTCCCCCAGTTTACCTGTGTGAATTCTCATGTGGTTCTTGTAGTTGGTGGCGCTCGTGAAGCCTCTCCCGCAGTTGGGCTCGGGGCACATGTACGGCCGCTCCCCTGTGTGTGTCCGGATGTGGACCTTACGGATGTTGGAGGTGGTGAACGAGCGGCCACAGCCTTCAAACGGGCATTTGAAGGGACGCTCACCTTCATCAACAAAAAGAAGAAAGGCAGAGTATGGTTTCTGCCAGTCAGACCGACCTTCGCTCCCTACAACGCCCCGAAGTTTGAAACAGAGATCAATCACATCCCCGCCATCATGTCTGTTACACTGAAGAGTCCCTCAATTCCAAGGCTTTAGGGCATTCGGAGAATCCAGGTTGCACTGTGCACAAGAATAAGCAGAAAGGATGGGCTGCATGCAAGGCATACACAATGGCTTCATGCTTTTGACATGTCTTCTTCATATTCCCCCCAACCCGATGCTTGACAACGTCTATCCCCCGAAAAGCTCTCTTTCTACTAGGTGAGTTTAATGCTAAGAAGACAGCACAGTTGGGGACTCCTTCTTAGCATAGGAGGGAAGCAAAGTCTCCATGACCAATTCAGTTCTCCCTGACGAGGCTGCCAATTGCAGACATGTTCTGTAGGAAACAAGCTAATACTCCAAGCGCCTTCCACTGTTTTTTGTTATCATGCATCAGACTGCAAAGCTGAGGTTCATGGTGCTTGTGTCTGTCTCAGTTTGACACCAATGCAGCACTGCTGGGAAGGATCTAAGGATACGGAAGTTTCATCCAGCATGTAAGCATATAGCAACACAAATCAGAACAACAAAATAATTGAACTGACACACTGTTTGTTAGTGTCACATTGTTCACACTGCTTGTGTCTTCTTTCCATGACCTGTGTCTGTCCCGTCTGTTTAGACCAGTGGTTTTCAACCTGGGGTCTGCAGCCTATGTCTAAAATTTCCAAAGGGGTCCATGCTTCCGTTTGAAACTTTTTGCAAACGCAAATGAAAAAAGGTTGAAAACCACTGGCTTAGACAGTATTGTCTCATTGTTTCCTTGTATGCCCATCTGTCTATATCCACCTGCTGTCTCTCGTCTTGTACTTAGTTTGTAAGCAATCCGGGGCAGGGACCGTCTTTCTGTGTTTGTACAGCGCCTAGCACAATGGGGTCCTGGTCCAGGATGGGAGCTCCTGGAGACTATCATAACACACCTAATGAACAATAATCAAGATGGACACGTGCTTCCTTGTCATCAAGACCTTCAGACTGGGGAGGACTGAGCTCAGACCTCTTGCTATGTGGCAGTGCAGCCCACCTGTGTGTGTGCGGATGTGTTTCTGCAGGTCCCCCGAGGTTTTGAAGGCTTTGCTGCACATGTCCTCGGGGCACTTGTACGGCTTCTCACCAGTGTGCGTTCTCACGTGGCTCTTCAGCCCGTACCCTGCAAGGGAAGAGGTCACAGGAAATTCGTGTTGCAATCTGCTGCACGTAGCATGGGAATATATGGACAACGTCTCACTCCATGGATTGTCAAAGCTCTGTCCTGTGTCCTGGAAGGTCAAGGGATGGAACACCTGGACTGCCTGGAAACACAGGTTCAAATCCCAGAAGGGGCCATTTAGTCCTTCACCCTTCCAAGTTAGATAAGCTGAGTTCCAAGCAGTTTACAATGGGGAGGAAGGGGAGAGAAAGAGTGTCTTAGGAATGAGGCCTTAAAAACTGAGCTTCCTCGGAACAATAGAACTGGCAGCTTCAGGAATGAGATTCATGTGCACAGGACAGAGTTTTTCGGCACATGATCTACAACCATTACCTGTAGCAAATGCTTTCCCACAGCTCGGGAAGTCACACCTATATGGCCGATCGCCTGTGTGAGCTCGCTCGTGCACCTGGAGAGGGAGAAGGGACAGAACGTGAAGCCAAGACTAGATGAGGCAGCAGCATGTGGAGATCTGGGGGAAGGAGCACACTTGGGACTCTCCAGCTGCTTTGCGACCTACATTCCAACCCACCCATCCTCACATCAGTCAGACACGGGATTCTTGTTCACTTCCTGTGCTAAGCTGCCATGTAGCAGCTGTGTGCTGTTAGGCCTGGTCTAGGCTAGGATTAGCGAAGACATTTAAATCCCTAGGTAACAGAATAAATTGGTTTTTAAAATACGTTAGCCAGCTGGGGTGAATCCTAGGCTTCCTGCTAGGGTTCACTTCAACCAACTAACTCGTGGTAAAAATACAACTCCCGAGCTAACACGTTTTTACAATACACTTTTGACGCTACATTGTTTGCAGTATTGTTGTAGCCATGTTGATCCCAGGACATGAGAGAGACAAGGTAGGTGAGGTAATTTCATTTCAAGTGACTGCCTCCAACATGCATTACCCCTTCTTCTTAACAATCTGAGCAAGCTTGTATTTAGCCCAAACACTCTGCTTCCTTGCCCAGGCCTGAAGAGCTCTGTGTTGCTCGAAAGCTTGTACATCCCACCAAGAGAAGTTGGTCCAATAAAAGATCTTTTATCCTAGCCCAGATAAGACCTTATACAGTTGCTGTGTTCTACTTCAAGCTACATGCTGGATAGCGGGACAACAAGTGTTTCTAATGCTTAGATAGGATCTAGATCCCTCTCATTGCTGCAAAGGACACACTGACTGCCATCAGCTCTGCTTTGAAAACACTGCAGCTCAGCAGCCAAAGATACGAGAGTCAACTGTCAGGATTAAGTCCCCCTTCCTCTAAACCCCTCAAGGTTCCTCATCTCTTCTCACGTGCATATTCTCAAGACACCAGCCTTCCTCCAGGTGACAAGCCCCATCCCTCTGGCTCTTCACGGTTGGATGCACCTCCCAAAATGGCCATAGAAAGTCACTGCAGAGTGCCATGCTCCAGGAATCCTGGCCTTTTCCCTCATGGAGCCAAGTTTGAGTCTCTCAGTCCCCTGCATGGGAGCACTGTGAGCTGCTATTATAGCAAGGGATGGTCCTCTGGCTGGAGCTTTTGGTGTCAGTGCATCAGCTGGCTTACCTTTAAATGGTGGGCGGTGGTGTAGAGGCGGCCGCAACCTTTGTAACCACAACGGAAGGCTCTGTCACCAACCTGCTGCCCCTTTCCGCTGCTGCGCATCTCCTCTTCCCGCAGATCCTGCCAAGAAGCACAGCGAGGCTAAGCCTAAAGAACCACCACAAGAGACCTTGCAAGGCCAACATGAATTTACCCCTGCACCCTCATCCTGTACATTGATCCCACTGGAAAATACGTCTCAGGTGCATACAAATGTACAGTGGCGCATACACAGGGCAGTCAAGGGGAGCAGGAGTCATGATTTCTGGGCTCCATTTCCCAGCTCACTGGGTGATCTCCGGCAGGTCACTTCACTGCTCTGTGCCTCAGTTTACTCATATGTAAAATATGGCTCACAATATTTACCAGCCTTACACCGGAGTTTGCAAAGCGCTTTGAAAATCTCTGATGAAAGGTGCTACAGGAGAGCTAAGGATTACTCAGATGATTATCTACCAGATCTCAAACTGAATAAGAATGTCAGGGTTGTAATCCTAATTTTAAGCCTTGAAAAATTCTACTGGCCTCTTTGCCCATCATAAGCCATTCACTGACAAGGGGACTGAATATCTTTAGCTCTCCCAGCGCCCTCATCGCCCAGGGTGGAAAAGTAGATTTTGTGCCTGGGCTAGTACATTTTTAGGATGAAACTGCAAGTCTGCAAGATGTATCACCCACAACATTCAGATGTTGAAAAAGCCCACAAGAAAACAGCTCTATAAGGAGGTGATATCAACAAAAATAGCCATACTAGAAAAAAGATTAGCCATGTAACTGGTGAAGTCAAACAAGGCACACTTACGGCTCCCTCTCCAACCCACACCTGAGAAGTGGTGGGCTGGCAAGTTAGCCTGAGCTGATTCAAAGGAACATCTCACTGACAAGTACAAACCTGGGAAGGGGCATTGTTAGAAACCTCATTCTTCAAGTGGCTGCTGCTATTCACTCTCTCTTCCTCCTCAGAGACCTGCAAGCAGAGAGACCGTACCATTTGCTCATGCCCGTTTGCAGAGCACAGAACGGGTGAGCCATAACCAAGCAATGAGACATTCACACCAGCAGAGCGCACCCGGGCTGCTATTTTTTAGACACCACAGCTGCTGTTACTGGTGATGGAATATCTTGTCACATTGGCACAGTCTCCAGTAGAGGAGCCAATCTTTGCCTACCTGAAGGCTGCCTTGGTAAATTGCTGGGAGCCTGAAGACCATTCCCAAAAATAAAATGGAGTTGACTGCAGCTGTTCACATCTTTAATATAAAGGTGGACTGTATGAAGACTACAGGCCCCTGCCCTCAATACTCCATATTAAGGCCACACAAATTAAGATGGAGCACTGCATGCTGGGACTGGTAATCTCCACAACCACTTGGATCAAGCAGACACATTTGGGACTTAGCAATGTTACGGGTCTCATGGCCATATTAAAGATCTTGGTGTGCTACGTTGGTCATATCAACCAACAATCTCTTTATGAAGAGAAACATGCATCATTGATTACTTCTATTGGCGAACATTAAGAGTGTGTATTGCTCAGACAATCACCTGATGTAATTAAAGCAAGAAAATCTACAGTTTGTGGAAGGGAGAGAGAAAAATTAACAGTGAACTTAAATGCCCACTTATGAGTGCGCGATTTTACCACAGAAACAAAGGCTGGGACTTGGAGAGCCTGTGAGCTCCTTTAAGCTGCTGGTGAAATTTGCATCTCATCAGGAATATAAAGCAGGTTCATAGGTCCTAGAAACACATTCTTGCAGTATCTTATACTTCTCCAACACTTTCCATCCAGAAGAATCACATATGCTTTATAACTATACATTTCATCTGCTACTATAATGCAGCCACTTCTAGTGTGGAGGATGGCAGTTGTTTAACAGCACACAGCAAAACCTCACAACATTTTCAGCCAAGAAGCGAAGAAAGATATTGTATCCAATTGAAACTATAAGGGGAATTTAGATAAGACAGAATGAAATTACATACAAGTGGCTAGGGGAAAAGAACAAAAGCAATGACACAAAATCCAAGCTGTATAGAGATCACTGCATTTCATTGCTCCTTCCGCAGCTGCATTTCTTTTCTTTATCCTCCCATATCCTCAGATCCATAAATAGAAAACTGGTGGACTCTCTTAGTCTTGTGCTAGTCCGTTCAGGCTTCTAAGTGTCATATTGATCGATTTGGCTTCTTTCTCTATTGTTCTGTGTAATGTTTCTCTAAGTCCATCTTTTTCTTACCAGATGTGATGCTTTAGGTTGGTTTGCTCTACTTAGAATTTCTGATGTTCTAAGAAACTCTTCCCAATTGAATCTGATGGCATTTATATTTTGGAATCAATTTTGTATCAATTTCTGTTGTAGATTTCCATGACCCAACTCCATAAAGGACGACAGACATGATGCCAGTGTTAAAAATTCATACTGGTGTATCAGTGCCTATCATGCTACTTTTCCAAATCTTTATCCAAAGTTTTTGAAAGTTGTTTGCTGCTTTTGATATTTGCTGCTTGAAATCTAGCATGTCACCATCACTGCACGTCTCACGCCCTAGACCGATAAAATGACTGACTTTTTCTAGTGTTTCTTCATCTACTCTAAAGGTTATTTTTAGGATATTGATAGCAATATTTCCCCCCCCCCCCTTGTTGATGAACAAACCAACTTGTTTCACTCTGTCTGCCAAAAGCTGGGTCTTTTCTTCCGTTAAGCAATGTGTTGAGCTAAGCAAGACAGTGTCATCAGCAAAAATTAGATCATCCAATTGTGCTTTATCATTTGTCCATAAAATTCCTCGGTTGCCTTCTGCGGTCACTTTCTTCATGATACCATGACCAGTGCAAACAATAGTGGGGACATAACACACCCTTGCCTTACTCCAGTTGTCACTGCAAACCATTGGCTGATGGTGTCACCATCTCTGACTGCACATTTGGCATTATCACATAGAGCCGTGATTATTCTAATGATTGTTGCTGATATTCCATAATATATTAAAGACGGTTTCTGTGTCAGTTGTCAAAAACCTTCTTGAAATCAACATTTTTTAATCACAAGAGGTGCTTGCCACTCTATCTGAGAACAATATGGTCTGCACATAACAACAACGGACTAAAACCTGCTTGTTCCTCTCTGAATTGAAGGTCCATTTGTTCTCGGCAAATTCCAGGACAATCTTGCACATGATTTTCCCAGTCACTGAAAGCAATGTGATCCCTCTCCAGTTATGGCAGTATGTAAGGTCATCCTTCTTTGGCAATATTACAACGAGCCTCTCTTCCATGGGTTGGGTTCTTTTCTTCATTCCATCTTCTATTAAAAAACACAAGGAGATCCTCGAGGGCTGTTTCATCATTTGCTTTAAGCATCTCTCCAGTAATGTCATCTACTCCAGCTGCTTTCCCATTTTTGAGTTTACTGATGGCTTTTCTAACCTTTTCCATTGTATAGACACTACATCAATAACGAACTTTAGCGGTAGGTCTTCAGTCTATTTAAAACAGCCAGAAAATGTTCTGCCTAACTTTTTCTTTGTTATTCTGTGTTAAGAGTCTTTCCGTTTGCATTTTTAATAGGGTTTCCAATATTGCTCAAGTTCCTGTTAGTTGTTTGATTTATTGTCTTATATGAGGTTGGCATCTTCAGACTCTTGACATTTTCTATCAATTTGCCCTTTTATTTCTTCTTAGCACTCCTTTTTTCCTCTCCATCTAGTGCTCTGTAGTCTTCTTGCCACTTGCTTGTCTATTCATGTCTCATGATTCAAATTTTGCTTTGCACTTCTTCTCTTTTCCACTGCTGCCCAAGTAGCATTGCAAATACATTCTTCCCCTTCATATTTCGTTATTAGAACTCTTTGCACTTTCTAGATAGCACACACTGATGTTTTCACAGAGTATCAGTCTGAGTTTTCTTCAGTTCACTCCATCAGAACTGCTCTTCAGTTCAAGCTAAAAGGCATTTTTTGTGTTTGGGTCTTCTTTTAATCTGCACCATCCTCTTTACCTTGATCTTCAATTTAGCAATACAAAGGTTATGATCACTGCCCACATCTGCTCCCCTGCACACACGTCTATCTGTCAACGAGCTGCAAAACGTTCTTGACTTGCAGAGGTGATCTATCTGGTTTCTGTAGTACCATCTGGGGAGTTTCAGGTCACTTTATGAATTTCTTCATGAGGAAACATTGTTCCACCTACCACCAGGTTGTTCACGCTGCAAATTTCTACTAATTATTCACCATTTTGGTTCATGTCCAAATCCCTGCCACACTTGCCTATAACTTTGTCTGACCCATCATTGCTACTTCCATCCTTTGTGTTAAAATCACCCAGTTGCTATGATTTCATGCTTTGGGACCTTGGTTAACACATCCTGTAACAGATCATATTAAACCCAGCTTTTTCCTGATCTGGCTTTTCATTGGTCGGTGCTGTATTTGCAGCCAATTATATGTAAATAGCCCAACGCATAGTGGAAACCCAGGAGCAGCACCACACCTATAGCTAGGTACCTCCCTGCATGTGTCAGCTAACAGAGAGGGTGGGGAACGGTATTCCACAATACTAATGGGAGCCTTTAAATGTTCATTAACAGTATTATGGGACCGTTAAACACCCATCTTAACATCATTAGCTACATTCCCACAAGAGTACTGTGTAATTTCTCTTCTAAAAGTCCGCACTTTCACTGAGAAGCTGGTATACAGAAGTGCCAGGCAGTTGTGGTTACTTAACCCCCGGTCCTGATCTGGTCTGGGAATCAGCTCCTCCCCACCTGCCAATCAGCCATGATGCCAGACCGTAAAAGGAGTGCTGCATCCTTACCTTGTTGGCATACTGCTTGAGAGCATTAATGGTATCAGCATCAAAGGCATCATCTTCCTCCTCCCCAGCCAATTCCTCCAGCCCTGTTTCTGCCTGCACGGCCAGGATGGTGCTGCCAGCTGGCATGACAACAGGACGATGTATGTAGGCAGTGGAGCCATCCTCCAGCTGGACCTCTTCCAGGGCATTGGCATCATAACCCTCTGGAGGGGACCACAAAAATCAAACGCTGTAGTCAAGCCTATGAGTGCTTATTAGCAATTGCTATGTACCTATTGGCACAGGAAAACGTAATCCTGGCATTCCCTAACCTTTGGGAGCTTGACTTTTCAAATTTAATGTTCTTTTAACTTAATTTTTGTGTGTGTAATTATTCTGTATAGGAGAAGCAAGTACTCTTAAAAAGGCACATTACCACCCCATCAGTACCCATTATTAGTCTGCTGCTATTAATATTTATCCATTCACAATAGTAAGAATGACCTTTTTTATTTCATGTACCAACAATAATTCCCCGTGTTGCAAGCTCTGCTAGAAGGTAAGAGTCTTGAGCCAGTTCTGCGCCCTTCTCTTTCTGCTGGGCCATAACCCACATCAGAGCTAGAGATGACGACAGAGCCAATAACCTCCATTTACAAAAAACATGCAGAGTTAGCAGGGAAAGTTTTAAGAATCCTTGGTTGAAGGTTAATCCAAGTGAACCTGATAGATTTTTATTAGTAGCAACATGGGCCAGAATGTGGCTTTCATATTGTGTTACTGTTGATGGTACGGTCTAGGGTGATCAAATGTCCCGATTTTATAGGGACCGTCCTGATATTTGGGGCCTTTCTTTTTATATAGTTGGCAATTACCCTCCACCCCCACACTTGCTATCTGGTCACCCTAGTACAGTCACATCTGTATTTCCTACACTTTACATCACCCGAGCTACATTCTTAGAAACGCGCAACATTTTGTTTAATCCATTAGATGCTTGACCCTGGGAGAGGATGGAAAAATTAATAATTACCTTTAGGTGTGTTGTGTATATAAGCCATGCTGCCATCTTCCAACACCACTTGCTGCCCATCTTCAAAAGCTATAGACTCTGTAAATCAACACAACCCATAGATACCAGAGTGAGGAATTTCATGTCTGGATCTCAGAGTCAATTTGCTCAATTCCCCATATAGCAGAGCACATATAAGGCTCAGTTCAAAAATGTCCTGCTCATTTTTAAAACCTACCATGGACTTACCTGAGCTGCCCCCTACTTTCCTGGCTTTTCTACAGCACTCATCACTGCAGGAAATGAGCTTCTCAATCATTACTTAATTTATTCTCCCAAAATCCGTGTGAGATGGGGAAATGAAACTATCCCCATTTTACAGATGGGGAACCGAGGCACACAACGATTAACTGACTTGTCCAAGGTCATACAACAAGTTTTAGGTCAGATAATAGAGCCCCAGTATCCTGAGTCCCACTCCAGTCATAAACCCATCCTCTATCTCTAATTCCCTTTATTTATTTAGCAGCTAACTTCTCTCTGTTCCTTTACAACACTTATCATGGTTGGTGCAAGGTTCTTATCCTCTGTAGCTCCTATCATGTGAAACAAATTCCCTTTCCCTCTCAGCTGTGTTAACACCATCTCATTTCAAATCCGAGAGGAAAACATATCTATTGATGACCCAAGCTATGGGGCTTCTATCACTTTTCTTGGGAGACTATTCCAGAGTCTAATATAGCTAATAGTTTACAAGGAGTTCATGTCTGACTGTTCACGGATAAACGTATAGTGCCCTAATGTTGTTTTTAAACCACATGGACACAGAGGCTGTGACGAAGTGGGAATGTTCTTAATGCTTTCTCTGAATACTGTGTGGGTGCCTCAGTTTCCCCTGTGCATTTCTTAAGTATCTAGGTGGTGGGATAAGGGTGTGTGATTGTTGCAGAGCCCTAGAGGGCCATCTGCACAGAGAATGGCTGACACCCTGTCTCCTGGCAACTTATGACCTGGGCCCCCTCCCCTGAAAGGTGCCAACTGAAGGTGTTGGAGAACAAAGAGACAAAAGGCCAGAGGAGGGGCTGGAGGGAGTCTCAGTTTGGAGCTGGCTGGGGAGATGGGGGGAGGCCCAGAACCTGGGTCTGGGCTCCCCACCCCGCAAGATGGACCTGACTGAGGGGTCCTGTTTTCTGTACCTACATGCTCTGTTTTAGACTGTGTTCCTGTCGTCTAATAAACCTTCTGTTTTACTGGCTGGCTGAGAGTCACGGTGAATCACAGGAAGTGGGGGTTTCAGGACCCTGACTCCCTCACACTCCGTGACAGAGGCTATGTATAAAGACACACAGTGAACTGAACTTATCAGATTTGTGATCAGACAGATACACACTGTGATATAGAGCACAGGCCAACACTATTTTAACCTGCATCTGTTTAAATCAGCAGCAAATTTGGCCTCAGATGAGTTTATTGCACATTTCACAGGAAGTTACATATTACAGAAAAAGCATCTATATTTTCATTCAGCACTAAAACAATAGGTAGGGGGAATAAATCACACACAGATGGACTCCTTGACGCTAGAATTTAGAGATGGGATCTAATTGTCAAGGTCGTCAGCCTTGAGTCACACTAGTAACATCCCTCTAGCAAAGTAGGGATACATTCCAAATGTCACCCGAGTTCCACTCCTCCTCTTCACCTTTCTGGACTGTCACTTGATGGATGTAAGCTGTCGTCCCATCCTCAAGCTCAATCACTTGCCCTTCAAGCAGCTTCTCTCCTGCAACAGTGTGAAAAGAAAACTATCATCGCTGACTGCAGTACTGATAAACCTTCCAGCACACAGGACTGTTCCCCTCTGTTCATAACCCTTTGCTATTTCTCCTAAAGAGAAATAATCTCATGGGATCACAGTCACCAAATGAGGCCATTATTTTATCAACCCCTATTTGCATTCAGAACCATAGTAATGGGTACACTTATGAATACCATAGAGAAGATTAAACCTCTCTTTCCTATGTTGTCTGAATGGAGGAAACAGTCTAAGGCAATCTCAACCATCACTTATTTACAGGGTACAGGATTTTTTTTACCAGCTCTCTCTGCCATGTAAACAAAGAGAAGTAAATGGAACAAAAATGCTCTAGCAAATACCACTAGGGCTTAAACCAGCAACTTAATGGCATAAATGAGGGACTGAATGCTTATTTTTCTTCTCTTGGTCAAGGACCAATTCTTGTAAAACTTTACAGGTCCTGAAGCACTAATTGCCTCTACCCATGGCAGGTTGTGAGAAATGAACCTTACAATCGTATAATTAGGATTGCCATCTTGCTTCTGAAATACATTTCCAGTTGTGACATTTTAGTAACCTATGGAAGCCCATGCTACTTTCAGAGGGTGCAAAGCATTTGGGTCTAGAGCCCCAGGGGCTCCTAGCACATGAGCACTCCAAACACAGATGTAGACACAGTCCCTATGAAAATCACTCAGAACACTGCAGTACCACAACAGTAAGAGATAGAGTTTGGAACTATTACTCTAGCATTTAAAAAAACCCAGGGAGGTGGGGGTTGTATCTGGTTCGAACCTCAAACCACCTTAAATCAATCAATAATTTCTGACTATTGCCAGGCTCCAGTATATGACCAGGGAGAGAAACTGCCACAAGAACTAAGCCTATCTGCATTTAAGAAGGTTCATTGTCAACAGAACTATAAAAGTATGTGGAAATGACATACCCAGTAGGAGTCCATTATCTATTGAGACCAAGAAATGTATGCCTGCTGTTACGTAATACTTCTTATTTGTTTACTTCTTTATTAATAGGGCTTTTAGATTATAGATTTGATCAAAGCAGAAATCAATTGTGTTCTACCTACACACTTGTTGACCAGTTAAAATACAGAATGAGGTTCTCCAGGCAGCATATTAAAACTGGAAATAATGAAGGAAAATCAGAAATGGAGGACTATGTGAACTGGGGCTGCCTTCTCCTACTGATCAAAGGATCACTAAGGAAATTTTTCTCTATAAGGAAATGTTAAGCTCTGCCAGAAGTCATTCCCCAGGAATGTAGAAATGCTGGGTGGTATATTAATTCTTTCAAATAAACTGCTCTCATTCAAATGAGTAGGGAAATTATGCAATCATAGAAATGTAGGGTTGGAAGTGACCCCGAGAAGTCATTTAGTCCAGCCCTCTGCGCTGAGGCAGGACCAAGTAAATCTAAACCACCCCTGACAGACTTTGTCCAATCTGTTCTTTAAAACCTAGTGATGGGGATTCCACTACCTCCCTTGGAAGCCTGTCAGAGGACGTGAGCAATAATGAAAATAATCGTACTTTGGATTCATTCAGCTCTTCTCATGTGAGGATTTCAATTAGTTAAGTTTCAGAACATGCCAGTGGGCGAGGTATTATCATCCCCATTTTACAGATGGGAGAACTGAGGGACAGAAAGCTAGGAAACTTGCTTGGGGTCACACAGCAGATCAGTGGAAGAGAATCCAGGAGTCCTGACACAGAGTGCCTGCTCTAACTGAAAAACACAGTTATTCATAGCTTTAGAGAAGAGAAGGTTTTCTACAATAATCATTGCGGTGCCTGGGTGTACATCTGGGGCAGCACCTTTATCTCTGGGCCAAAGGTCTGATTCAAACCCAATGCTGACATTGCAGAGCAGCAGGTATGATGTATAGTATAAAGAGATGCCATGTTTCATCAGAGAGTTAAGCGGAGGGCTCTTGTACCCATCCTTTGTGGCTCTTTGGGAGAAGACACACATCCTGCAGCTATTTCTGAAAAAAGTGTGGATAATCCTAATGTCCTGGCCAACAAGGTACATTAATAAAATAGGTTCTAATGCTGCAAATCAAACTGAATGAACACACCACTTACCTCCCTGCACTCTCTTGGCTACAGTTGAGCGGAGCCTGGGTGCTCCTGCTAACAGTCTAGCAATGAATGCCTGGGGCTGGGTGTCCCAGGTGGAGAACTCTGTGCTCTGGTTCCCACTACCTACCCCTTGGTCGGATACAGTTCACACCTGCTGACGTTCAGGGTACAGCACAAGGCCTATCTATTCCCTCAGGCTTTTGCCCAAGATGGAGAGATTGTGGGACACACAAAGTATCTTTCTAATGGATGAGTTTGACTATGAATTTGACATCCAATACTGCATGGAGTGTGTATTTTGTGTAAGTTCCTAGAGACTGCATGAGGGCAGCATTTTATAACTCCCAAACTAAAATAATAGACGTTGCATTTCGTGTCAGCTTTACTTCACTAACCAACACTTAACGCATCACTCATTTCAGTGAGAAAGGTGTTAGCGTAAACCAAATTCTATCACTATATTCTGAACCTATCCTCTGTTTATGTTTCAGTAGCTCTCTTAGCTCCTGTGTGTTATTTTCCAGATCAGCGGTATGTTTCCTCTTCGATACGAGTCAGTGAAACCTAACAGACAACCACAAGCTCCTTGCCCAAGTCAACAAGGGAAACAGCAAGTATTATGTGTATGATACCAACAGGGGTGATTTTCTGCAGTATCACTCAACATATCAGAGAGGTCAGGCTCAGTAGTCCAAAGGGTCTCTTACCTTTGATGGCCTGCTGAATGTAGGCTGTTGTCCCATCAGTAAGGGTCACTGCCTGCAGGCCCAAACTCTCCATAGTGTCCTGATGACTGCTCCTCAGACATGAATTTCACTTTAATCAGCACACACTTGGAGAGTGTTGGAAGCAGGAGCTTTTTGGAATAGGCAAGGAGTTTTCTTCTTTGTTACAAATCTTAGATAAAAAGAACATTTCAAACTATATTTTCCCCAAAAACACACTCGTACTTGCACATAAAAATGGGTGGATGTCAAACTACAGTTTGGGGGAAAGTTATTATCGGCTAATGTGCATAATCCTTCCAGTGTCTGTCATGTGAATTTCAAAGCCCAGTTCTGTGGACAAAAATGGGGAGAACAAAGCTCAGTTGTCAAGTGAGTTGGCAGATTATTTTTTCTCTACAGGTACACTGTAAACAGTTCATTTTAAAATCTAGAACTAGAGTGCCCACATGAGGAAGGAACTACTGCAGAAATGTGCTTTCAATTCACACCGTACCTTATTCCAGAAGAACTTTCCTGCATAGACAAGCCCTTATAGAAGCGAAAGGTCTGTGCAGTTGCTGACTTATCTTCTGAGATCATCTCCAAAAGGGCCAAATAACATCAAGCGATGTGGTAGTTTTTGCGATATGGGCAAAATACCAACTAGGAAATGGTCTGAAACCCACCTAATCATCCCATACGAAGGCCATCAAACAGCGTTCAAATGCTAACAATTTTGGGTCACTAACAACTTGGACTGGATATGAACCAGCGACCTAGAGAAGAAAATCTTCCGTATCCCAGGATCAGTTCCCTAAGCTGTCCAGTCCCCTGCAATGGCATTTTTATGAGACATTCTACATTCCATCAATAAATTATTTAAAATCCTAGATTTATGGGATTTAAAAAAAAAGTTATTTCTGGGGCAGCCTGGCAGTTTATGCTCTTTATTACCATGAGAGGGACTGATCATATGTCTTAGGATTTTCTATGGCATCTCACTGTAATATCTAAGTATGTCCTACGTAAACCAAACCTTGATGCCTAGATCAGCAGCAATGGGAGGGGCAGCATGTGCCCTACTGCCACTGTGCATCACTGTGTTGCAATTTCCAAAAGCCAAGAGTTCCAATGTGGCATTAGCCAAGATAGCAGCTGTGATGATGGGCGGCAGAGGAAACTTGTGGGAAGTGCAATTAGAAATGACTTAAAATTTAGCACATAGGTTTAAAACTTTGGCATTTTACCTGTGAATTATTAGATCTCTGGGGGCAAAACACTAACTGTACTTGAGAATGTAACTTTTATTGAAAGAATAATACAATAATAATAATTAAAGAATTTTTTCCACTTCAAGGTCCCAAAACACAGACAAGGTTTTCATCTCAAGGCCAAAAGACCAAAAACATCAAGACACTTGATCACGGCCTTGGATAGACCAAGAGACTACTGACACTTGACCAGAGCTCATACTAATACCACAATAATACCACCACTTTCCTCTTATCTGTAGCTTTTATAATACATAGATCTCAAAGGTTTACAGATGAGGTCAATATCATTATCCCCAAGGGAAACTGAAAATGATTTGCCCCCAGTTTCCCAGCAGGTCAGTAGTGAGGCTGGGAATAGAACCCAGGTCTCCTGATTCACAGTTCAATGATATACCCACTAGGCCACAGTCTCTCTCTAATAATAGAATCTTATGTTTATACATCATCTTTTCCAAGACTCCTGTAAGCTTTTTGGGGCAGGGATTGTCTCTTCTTATGCTTGTACAGCACTAACTGCAGTGGACCCCTGAACAGGATTGGAACCTGTGGGTGCTATCAAATTAAATAATCCTTCTTACCACTATAAAGCACATTAATAATGTACAGATACCCCAAACATTATTTCATCCACCCCCAAAGTGCAACAACCTCTGTGCTGGAGCAGAGCAGCTGTTTGATAGTGCAGAACACTACATGACTGTTCAGAAAGACAGTGAAGAATACGACACACAGTTGATATGAGGAACTCTCAGAAGGCAGAATGTAATTGCTTGAATGGGACTATTAACACCCCCGAACTGAGTCAAGTGCCATTAGACTTTTAATGATCAAAAGCACTCAGGATCTCAGTTTTATGTCTCATCCAACCCCCCGACTACCCCAGCACTTCATGTCCTCTCTCTCTGCCATCTATGTGTGCATGACAGGGTGAAAAGGGATACCAGGAGAGAGCCATTAATAGGGATTTCCAAATATGTTGAAAGAAGATGGTCTTTGAAATTGAGTTAGTTTATCATCTAGACAGACCTTTCAAGCACAGGAAGGCCATGATGCATTTAACACTGTGCCAACCGTTCATGGGTAATCCTATGGTTGACTACTTTAGCAGCTGGTTGTGGTTAATGTGACCGTCCTTGTCACTGTGTCAAATTGTGTTTGATGATGTGTTTGTTGACATGTGTTCTAGTAAAAACAAGCCCTTGATGAACAAGGACAAAAACAACATTTAAGGGGCCTAAAATCAGTTAAGAAGAAGTTTAATGCAATAGTTGGGGGAATTCAAATTGAGGATTCGGAATGGGCTATTATGTGGCGGAGTTGGAGTTAAGGGGATTAGCAACGAGGTTATAGGGAGTTAGAGGATGTTGAAGGGGATCAGAACGGGCAAACAGTGTGTAAATGGACTAGGAATTGGATCATGGCAGGGATAAGGTTTGGGAGTGTTGAGGATGTCTGGGAATGTTAGAAAGAAGGACTGGTGAGACAGGGAGTTTGGATGTTATTAAAGATAGGGATGGTGTTGCGGTGATTAAGGATGGGGCAACAGGATTCTGGGGTTTAGGGAATTAAGAATCAGGGTGCAAGGTAATGGGATACCAGAGAGGATCAGAAATGGGAATGACAGAATTTGGGGCACTAGAGGGCATTAAGAATTGGCAGTGATAGGTTGGGGAATTGGTGTGATGGGGTGTTGAGGGAGCTAGGAATTTAGGATGACAGAGGAATTGGGTGCAGGGGCTGAGACTTCCAGAAGGAAATGTTGGGGTCTGGTTACTGAAAGGATCAGGGTGGGCTAGGGGAAAAAAGAGGACTAGGGCCTGGGGGGGAGGGGGGGGCTGGCAGGGGGCCAGGAGGGTGGGAGGGGCCGGGGAGGGGTTAGCGGGGGGCCGTGGGGGTGGCAGGGCCCGGGGGGCGCAGCGGGGGGCCGTTGGGAGGACAGGGCCGGGGGATGTACCGGTGGCGGCGGGTAAGGTGCTGGGAAATGGGGTCTCCCTACCACAGGACCGAGCCCGGGCTGGGGGCGCAGCCCGCCTAGGCCTGGCTCCTCCACCCCCTTCGGGCCACCCCCACTATAGACACCCACCTGAGGATGCCCGAGCGGGCCGAGTCCGCCGCCTGACCGCCATGCACCGGGCCCAGCTCCTAGAGCCCCGCCCCGCAACCTGCATGGCCCGGCCTCTGCCCTGGGGCTCCGACCACTCGCCGCCGCCCATCCAGGTTCCGGGGCCCGCTAACTCCTCCCCCGGAACAGGAACGGCGAGATCGCCTTCGGAACGCACTCAACTGTGCCACCAATGCGCATGTACGAACATCAAGAGCATGCGCGCTAACAGCAGTGAGGCCTCTGCCCTCAGCCTTTGCCAGGGAAACGAATACTGTCTTGGGGGTGCCCTAGACTGGCAGCCCAGGACCACTCAGTGTGAAGCAGGGGTGGGGACGGCTGCACGCCTCTGGACCCAGGACTGCCAATGACCCTCAGATCCAGAGGGGAGGAGGCAAACTTGCCGAAGACATGCTGCAGAACGCTGTTGCAGTGTGATGTGCCATCAGGTTGGCAAACACTGAATCCAGTGGCACTCACTAGTTGACAAAATACAGCACACAGTGGGATTAGAGTGGGGACAGAGAGCATACATTTTATTGCTTCTACCACTGACTGGTATAAAGGAGAATACCTCAGTAGCCATAAATGTACTTCTCACCACACGGTCTGATGCCACAGACTCTAGGGGTATATCCACACTGAACTAAGAGACTGGCAGCAGGGTGAGTTGATATGGGCTTGCAGGGCTCTCGCTGTGGGGCTATAAAATTGCAGTGTGGATGTTAGAGCTCGGGCTGGAGCCCAGGATCTAGGACCCACCTTCCTCACGGGATCTTAGAGCCTAAGTCCACAAGCCTGGGCCAGCTACACGTCTTTTATTGCAGTGTAGACATGCCCTAAATTGCAACTTTATGTTAGATTTTGTTTGATGGGAATCTTTAGTTGTGGGTGAAGCCACTGCCAATTGTAATCTTGGGAACTATTTGTTTAAAAGGCAAACCTGTGGCAAATTGTACAGAACCCCCAGGGCTCCACAAAAGACTCACATCTGGCCACATGCCCCATCCTGATTCTTCAAAGAGCCCAACACCCTCAACTCCAGCTGAAACCCAAATAAGAGCTTAAAAGCCATGAGATGCCATTGAGATACTGATTACAGCCAGTCCCCCACTGGGACATGGTAGGACTGAGCTCTTTTCATATTCACACTTATGTTACCAATGTAACAAGGAAAGAATCTTGCCCCAGGCACAAACTGGTGTTAAGCAGCTAGCATGGGAGACTTCCCAGAGCGCCTAACCCACCTCCAGAACCACCGTCTAGTGCAAAAGCATCTGCACCCAGCCCGCTCCAGAGTTCAGCTGAGACTGTACAAGCTCAGAACAGACTACGGGTTGAATCTCTCCATCACCAAGCCAACCCCCTGGCTGTAAACTGGAGCTCATTCCCATCTGCTCAGTAATCAGGCACTGGCTCCTAGGAAAGATACAGAGAAGTGTGCAATAAATAGTCAAGCTATGGTTTGCACTTAAAGGAAATAAAGGGCGCTCTGGAGATGCACAGCCCTCTCTGCTCACAAGTGTATCCTGCTACCACAACACCTAGCTCCGTCCTGAGGCTGGGCTGTCCCCACCACTACAGCCTGCCTCTCTCAAGATGGCGCCCAGACCGCTCCCACGTCTCGCGAGACCATGCGCTATTTATACCGCGATCTGAGCACCCCCGCCCCTTTCCGCCCGGCGGCACCCGCGGTACCCGGAGTCGGCGAGGGCCGGTCTCAAGATGAGGTGCGTGTCTGGGGGGCTCAATCCGGTGCCATCCGCCCCCAGCTGACCCCGGCGGCGGGCCCGGCTCCCGCATTAGGCAGAGGGGGGGCCCGGCGCGGCCCTCCCGGGGGAATTGGTTCCGCTCGGGGGCTGAGCCGGGGTGCGAGGGGCGGGTGGGCCCGGAGGGTCTCTGCTCCCTCCTCGGCCGGCGGCAGGGCCCCTCCGCGCTGCGGGTGGCGGGGGGTCAGGGAGGCGATGTGGGGGGCGGGAACATGCCTGGGCCCCTCCCTGTGGGGCCCCTTGGCCAGGCGGGCTGGGCCGAGACACGGGGGGTGGGTAGCGCCACTGGGTACCGTCTGCACCGGCCTGGCCCGTGCTCAGCTGGTCCCGCCAGGCTTGGGGCGGCTTGGGGGCCTCTCTGCAGGTGGATCCCGGGTAGGTCCCCCGGGGCAGAGAGCCGCCGTGTCCCTGCGCTGAGCCAGCCGGCCATGAGCGGGGCTGGGCTGGTCGGATCAAGCGGGGCCGGCTGCTGCAGAGGGAGAGAACACAGAGGGGTGTCCCGTTGTCCAGTCCCAGCTCCTGGCAGTCTGAGGTTTAGGGACACGTGGAGCATGGGCTTGAGTCCCTGACCATCTTGGCTAATAGCTGTTGATGGACTTGCTGTCCATGAACTGAGCTAATTCTTTGGTGAACCCAGCTATATTTTATAAACTCTTTATACTCTTGCTCCTAGAATGGGCCCCTCCATGGTGGGGTTAAGGCTCACTAAGGAAGAAACCTTCACTGTGGCTGCTTTTCTGGCTTCAGCGCCTCTGGGGCTGTGGAATGAAATGGGCTGAAAACAGAAATTGTTACTGTATTTAAAAATGGAGTCACCCTGCTGCGAGTGCCTGAGAGTGAAGCTGAAAGAACAATGGATCTAACTTACAATTCACCATTGTTGCTGTTCAGTTATTTTTGCACTTTTCTGGGCCTGCACAGTGAACCTGGGCATGTCAGTTTCATTTTTATCAGTGCTGCACTGGCCCCAGACTGTTGTATTTGAGTTCACATCATTACAGGGGAATGGTTCGTTTCATTCCCCCAGAATGCTGTGGGCTCAACAGCTCCCCTGGTTGGTGGGATTAAAGGTGGTTTTAGATGCTGATGTACCTGCAGTTGCAACCTGTCCAGAGTGATTCATTCAGTTGATCCTTTCAAGTGCCTGACCTGCTCTTTGTGCCTTTCACATCTACAGCAGCAAAGTTTCCCGCGACACTTTGTACGAAGCAGTGAAGGAGGTCCTGCAAGGGACTCAGGTGAAACCACGCAAGTAAGAACTCTGCTCTGCTGTGGGAAGCGCCCTTCCCCAAATGCCAACTCCATAACTGGAAATCTCTGGTGAAGGGGGTGGGGGGGGGAAGGGTTTGTGGCAGCGTCTCTATGCTCTTCTAGATGTTACTACAGCTTTTCCCATGTTTGTTGCTATTCATCTTGTTTTACTGGGTTCTTAAATTCTGACCTGGCCTGTTTCTTTTTCTGTTTATCAGGTTTACGGAAACTGTGGAGTTGCAGATCAGTCTGAAAAACTATGATCCACAGAAGGACAAGCGTTTCTCTGGCACAGTCAGGTTCGGCATTTTCTGATCCCACCCAGCCTTCAGCCTGCACCCCACTCCCTCCAGGCACTTTGAATGTACATGTGGTGAGCAGCACATTGACTGCTTGATACAGTGGCAGGAGGGTGCAGTGCTGAATTGCCCGGGTAGTTCAGACCCCCCCAGATCTCTACATGGGTGTGGCTGGACGGACCCCTACCCTGGGTCTTAAAACATGAGGGGAGGTGTGGTGAGGCTTCTGTGCTGATCCCACCGACCAATTGGAGAAGCTAGATTAGAGGCTGGTGAATGAAGAATCGCAGGTGACTGTGGTAAGGTTTCTCTGCTGTGGCTCTGTGTGCTCCCCTTAAGGTGTGTGGTGCTGGCAGTGCATAGTGACAGTATGTGGTGTCATCTTCCCTTCCTGACAGGCTCAAGTCCACCCCACGCCCTAAATTCTCAGTCTGCGTGCTGGGGGACCAGCAACACTGTGATGAGGCCAAAGCAGTTGATATCCCTCACATGGACATCGAGGCTCTGAAGAAACTCAACAAGAACAAGAAGCTAGTGAAAAAGCTGGGTGAGTAGAATTCTGAAGGGCTAGAGCTGCCAGTATACCTGTAACACATCTCTGGGGGGAAGGGTGTCACAGATAGTTAACACTCCTGCAGTGCCAAATGTGACCAGTGTGGAGTTCCCCCAGCAGCCAGACTCCTGCTCACTGCCTTGTTAGGAGGAAGTTGGCTACTAGATCTGAAGTGTGGTTGTTGGCTTGAGCATCTACTCATACTGTCTGGTCTTATCTTTTCTGGTATAACTGCATCTACACTAGGTCATTTTCTATCAAATCATAAAATCACATTCCTAACAGATATACTGGCAAAAGCCCTAGTGTAGGCTTGGCCTACCTTGTGACTTAGTTCTAGAGTCTCTGAAGAGTCTGTAAATACACGAGTCTTTGGTGTGAACGCTTTAATTCAGGGGTCAGCAACCTTTCAGAAGTGGTCTGCCAAGTCTTCATTTATTCACTCTAATTTAAGGTTTCGCGTGCCAGTAATAAATTTTAACGTTTTTAGAAGGTCTCTTTCTATAAGTCTATAATATATAACTAAACTATTGTTGTATGTAAAGTAAACATTTTAAAAACCTTATTTAAGAAGCTTCATTTAAAATTAAATTAAAATACAGAGGCCCCCGGACGGGTGGCCAGGACCCGGGCAGTGTGAGTGCCACTGAAAATCAGCTCGTGTGCCGCCTTCGGCACGCATACCATAGGTTGCCTACCCCTGCTTTAATTAGTTGCTCTTGGAGAAACTTGCAAACTGCTTCTAGTTGAGGAGGAAATCAAGCCCAGAATTAAAATGAGGAAAAAAGGCAATCACATGCATTACATTTTTTCCCCATAGCTAAGAAGTATGATGCCTTCCTGGCTTCAGAGTCTCTGATCAAACAGATTCCTCGTATCCTGGGTCCAGGTCTGAACAAAGCTGGCAAGTTCCCCTCCCTCCTCACCCACAATGAGAACATGGTGGCCAAGATGGACGAGGTCAAGTCTACTATCAAATTTCAAATGAAGAAGGTAAAAAAAAAAAAAAAAAAAAAAAGTAAACTCCAACCTCAGAAGTCAGTTACGTGGCCTGTGGGGGGTGGGATTTAATGAAGCAACTAGCTGCCTGCCATGGCATGTGGATTTCTACTCTCAGGGCTGAACTGTAGGTATCCTTCAGCTTCTTTCTTAAGATAAAGACAAAGCCAGTGATCAATATCTGGTCAGTCCCCTTCTGTGCATTTAGGGAACACAACTAGAGCATTCAGCTGCTGACCTGAGGGGAGAATGTAACTTGTCAGTAGTTGACTTTTTTTTTAAGAGAAACTGGAGGAGAGCCTGATATTGCAGAATGCTGGGGACCCTAAATGCTCACTGAAGTGGGTGGGAGTTGAGGGCGTTTGGCGTCTTGCAGGAAGAGATGCGCACCCTGTGTGATAAGCTCCTGACGCTGCAGGCATGTGGTTCGGTTTCAGTTAGCCAGGAATTAGAACAGGCTTGTACCGTATAGGTCCGTGCTTGGTAGTAGTGTACGCTTCGGGCATGAAGCCGTGTAAGGGATTTCACAGCAGCTACAGTGCAGAATTTTGACTTTCTAGACTCTTGTCCTGTCTTGATTTTGAAGAAAGGTCACTATAGGGAGCAGAATCATATTCTAAATCACAGCAGCCCTAATTCAAATGCATATTCATCTGTTGGGCACTATGGTGGTGTAAACCTGACTCATTAGTTCAGTTAACAAGTCTGTTTCTAAGGCTTAAGTACACATTTAAGTACTCTGCTAAATCAGCTCCAGCCCATCTGAAGAGAACTGTTCTTGATCGACCTTAACAGGGCACCTGCTTTAAAACAGTTTGAAAGGAAACTAAGTCATGTTTTTTTATAAGCCCTTTTTTTCTTCAGTCTGTAGTTTGGCTGTACGCTTCAGCTCAGCAAATTTGGCATCAAGGACTTGGTCTGGGTGCATGTTCTTCATTTGGTCACTAGAAAGACTTGGTGGTTGGGCAAAAAGCAAGTCAGCTCTGTATTTTACAATATGAAAAAATTAAGCAGTTGGTATAGGTGGTTGAGCTAATCTGTGCAGCATGGGTTAATGCTGGGCAGTATTTGTGGAGGCAAGGGTGTATGAGACAATATAGTAATAAATCAGGCTTGTGATTAGGCGTTAGACTTGGGTTCTGTTCCTTGGTGTGCCATTGGTTCTGAATGCCTTAGATTAGCCTCATTTTATAGATAGGGAATGATATTTACTGTCTTTGTAGAGCACTTTGAGCAGAAGATGAAACACACCTATGTACGTTGTCAGATTTTCAACAAAGTTTGCAGTGAGACATTAAGCATGCATGTTAATGTGCGTGGAAGCCAGTTGTCAAACTTAACATGCGCTCTTAAGCCTTCTAGCTACTGATATGCAAACTGGAAGAGTAGGTTTTGAGCTGTGAAACATCATTATTCAGCTCTAGAATGTCTGAATTTACAGATCTTGTATTTACTGGGTCTGTCACTTTTTAAAATGCTTGGAAATCAGGGCTCTGGAGCTGGAATGCGGAGCAGCTCTGGAGCAGTGGAGCTGCAGAATTTTGCCTGGAGCTGGAGCAGAGCCAGAGCACAGCTCCAAAGCCCTGCTTGGAATGTATACAGCAGCATTTACAGGCCACAGAAAAACAGGGGAATTTTAAACCACATTTATCCCTTAACTTTTTTTTATGTTGTGACTTAAACCCAGCCCAAGAGAGAAATTCCAAAGAGAAATCAGGCCCTTAATGTTAATTGCCTGCAAAAAGTCTGTGGTGGCTGTAGGTTTCAGCTAGTGCAGGGTGGTCTGTAACGTGACGATAGTTAGACTTTAACCCTGCTGGCTAAGTTTTTGGTCCTGCTGTCCTTGTTTAATACACGTTCCTTTCCAGTCAAGGCAGTTCCCTGCAAAGTCTACACCATTAGAGTCTAGTGACATTGCTTTCTATGTCCCCAGGTGCTCTGTCTGGCTGTGGCTGTTGGCCATGTGAAAATGACGGAGGATGAGCTAGTCTACAACATTCACCTGGCCATCAATTTCCTGGTGTCCTTGCTGAAGAAGAACTGGCAGAACGTGCGTGCATTGTACATCAAAAGCACCATGGGCAAGCCACAGCGCCTCTACTAAACTGGCAGTAATAAATGATTTGAGTACCCAGTTGCTGTCTGTCTTATCTGCTGAGTTGGATGGGAAATTGGATTAGTGTCTGTCTTTTACTGAGAGACCCACAAACAAGGGAGAATTAGCTTATTTTCTCTAAAACTGATGAGGGGGGGTGTACAGGTAACAAACTATTTAAACCATTTTTTAAATGGTCACTAGATTTCAAACAGCCCTTTAATGGATATCTAGGTCTATCCACAGAATAGCTACATGTGGTGCATGGTGGGGGAAGCTTTTAAATCTAAGCATATTCAGTGCACAAGTGCAATTAAAACCCTCCCCTTTTGGGGAAAAAAATTCCAATGAAGAGGAAGCAGGCTCTGCCTGTACCCAGACTCCCTAATCAGTACCTTCCTTTCTGAGGGTCTGGCCTGTTTTTTCAGTAGTCGGTTCTGCCCTGCTGCTGGGCTCGGTAGTTCCAGCTTTTTCACCCAGCTCTCCTTCAGCAACAGCCTCCCCTTCCTGAAATGAACTCTAACCCCAGAACTGAGCTGGGCCTGATTTATTTAGCCCCAGATTCCTTCCAGCAGCCTCTGCAAGTATTAATGTTTAATTAGAGTCAGCTGGACCACTCTCTTGTTCTAACATCCTGGGCGTGGCCACTATTTACAGCTGCTGCTTGGAGGACTGCCTTTTTTTCTACTTTGTGATGGTTTATACTGTCACATCGGGTCATGGCTAATGCTAGGGCTTTGAGGATAGTGAGGGGCAGATCAGCAATGGGAAATGAGAGAGGGGGCTGAGGAATGAGTGATAGGAAATGTAGGATGAGAAGAGGGTGAGGGGAGCTAGGCACATTAAGCAGCAGTGTTAGAGAGGATTAAGAATGGAAACAAGGTTTGGGTATTGGAAGGGATTAAGAATTGGAGTGCAGGAGGTTGGAGCACCAACCTGAGCTGCCCCATGCACATACCAGTCACCAACATCTCATGGACAGCAGAGAACTCCCAGCTGCTATGGAAGCAGAGATGGACAAAAACTAAGCCTTGAAGAAGAATCCTGTGCTAGCAGTGGGGATGGGACTAGATTTCAATGGGGCTCCTCATGGGGGTAAAGGTACTTTAGGTGTGTTTGCAGTATTGGCGCTTTAGTCTGACTGAAAGTCAATGGGATTTAGGTGCTTTTGAAACTTCTCCAATCTCTGAAAGAAAACAATCTCAGGTCCCACTGTTAGAAATCTTCAAAATAAGTAGCAGAACCAATTTCTAAAAGATCAACACAACACCAAGAAATTCAATTTAATAATTAAAAAGACAATACAAAATGCAAACATTTCTTTTTACAAAGTTCAGATACAATTTTTTTAATCAAGTGCAAATAACTTTATGAACTACATCTTTTTTTAATCACTCAATCATCATTTTGTGGGAGATGCTAAATTGTGGCCCACTGCAAAAGATATATAAATATTCCAATTTTTTTTGCCTTTTTTTTAAACCAACCCTTTGTTTACTATGTTGAAACATTCAGTACATCAGAAAGTGGGTGATGGAGTTTTCAGCCTTTCAAACATTTTCTTGCCTTGGGGCAGGGCCAGATGTAGCACAAGGAACTGAAGCAGGGTTTGATGGTGTACATAACATCTGGTAAGATCTTCCTCATAGTCCCCCCCAAGGATTGTCTGAAGGAAACACCAGTCAGTGGCATGTTCTATGAATCAGGCCTCCAAAACTATGTTTCTGTCCATCCTAACAGCTGGCTGCATAATACAGTCAAGATTTCCCATTGCAGTAAATGTATTTAAGTGACTAGTTAACATAGCAGGCTGTAGATTATGGAGGAAATAATTATTTACCTGTGGTAGTAAGTCACACCTAGATAGTCTGAACCTGCAATCGCTTCAAGGGAGTAGTGCCATGCCTACAAAATGCTTACTAGTGTATAGCTTATTAGTGAACAGACTAAATGAAGCCATTAAGGGCTGGTAACCAAAGAACATATTACGATTTTTACAGGATGAGGGCTGTAGGCTTCAACAGGACTGCTGTCAAAGGACTGTTTGTGGCACTAAGGCTGCAAAATCAGGCCCTCAGATTATGCAAACACAAATTTATTAAAAGGCCAAGAATTTCCAATGAGGACTCAACTTCTATCACCTCGAGGCCTGATTTTCAGAGGGAGGGTGCACAGCCCTGTGTGAAAATCAGGGCACTTTTAAGGCATCCCAGGAATCACCCAAGATCACACGTCACTTTTGAAAATCTTGTCCAAAAGGAGCCTAAATAACATGTCCCCAGATGCTGTTTCCATGTTTCCCTTCGTAGGGCCAGTGAAGCCAGAGCAATTGGTTTCACATGGTTACGTGTTGCTGTGTTTGGGGTCAGACTGCTGCAGTCTCATTTTGAAATGTAAGAGGCTCCATGGTTTTAAATAGCCCTAGAAACACTTCTATATACATCAGGTTTGGGGATTTATTTTTTTAAACCATACCTGAAATTTGGCCTTTAGACTTGATCATGTCCCTTTAAACACCTACATACTCTAGGCACTGCTGCATGCATTCTGAACCCCCAAAATAGATCTTGTGCCTTTTCCATTGGGGAGTCTGCTGCAGATACCAGTGATGTGGCAGGCATCTCAGTCCACAGGTGTCCAACTTATAAGAGGACTCGGGGCAAATACACAGATGGCATGAAAAAGCACAACCCCTCATGAGAGATGCAGTCAGGATGAAGGGGACAGAATTGAGCATCGCTCAGCCGAGTGGTGGGATGATACAATACAGCGAATGAATTCCTGGGGGCAGCAGCAGAACAAAGCTGTATAGCCAGACATTGGGGGGAGGGGGGGGAAAGAAAATATGGGATATCAGCTATCATCTGCTCAAGAGAGAACCCAGCTCCCTGTCCCTTCTATCTGCTAACAGCCATGAGAGTGTGTTGGGTAATAAATAATCAGCTGGTGGTGGTGCCTCCAAAGGGCTATGTGTTGGGTGTTCAAGAAGGAACTGTTCCTGCCCCGAGTTGCTCACAGTCAAAGGAGACAGAGACTGCTGGAAGTGGAGAACAACAAATAGGAAACCTGTATACAAGTCAACTGGATTCACCACATGGCAGAAGTGGGTCTTTAAAGATAGACTTAAATGTGGACAGGATGTGGTCACTGAGATTGCACCGGGCATAGGGGGCTGCCCGGAAGAAGGCACAAAGGTGACTGTGCTAGAGGCTGACAACCGGGCGGGAATAGTGGTGGAGTGGAGGTTGGGGGGCAACATGAAGCCAGACAAGGGAGGATAAGAAGGAAGAGGCAGAGTTAGGTACCACCGCGGACAAAGGTGACGTGATTGCGGATGGAGATCCAGCAAAGTGGTGCAATCTGCATGTTGCACGGTGGTGCGCATGGACACGGGAGACCAGAGGAAGAGTCTAATAAGGGCCTGACAGAGATCTGGCTGCGGAGATGGCCGGTAAAGAACAGCTCTTAGGTTCACAAGGAAGGAGTGGCAGGATTTGGAAATGGCCTGGGTGCCTGGGGCAAGGGAGAGTGAGGAGCCAGACAGCATCTCAAGGTTGAAAGAAGGAGAAGTGCTAATGGGAGAGAAGTTTTGGCTACATTCAGTTTTAGCTGATGAGACATCAGATGAGATGTGGGGCTATGGCAGAGATGGAGATTGGCAAGACATCAATAGACAGGTGATACTTGCAGCCATTAAAGCCCAATCGAGATCAAAGGGAGCAGCAGGAGCTCAGCTGGCCTAAGGTGTCTCACGTTGGGTTCCCAAATGGACGCTCCCAAGGTCAGTGGCCACTTTTGAAAACGCTGGCTTAAATATTAGTATTTTTCATGGAGGCAACTGCTGGAGTTGGCCCCTGGAAGCTCTGTGATTGTATATGGAAGGGGAGCTGGCCACAAGACAACCTCCCTAGTGAGATGTGGCCTGCACTGTGACTAAGTTTGAGAACCCCTGCAGGAGGCAGCAGATTTTCAAAAGCACCTAAGGGATTTAGAAGCACATTTCATTGGACGCCAATAGCACTTGTGCATCTCCCCCAAAGACATGGTGACTTTTCAAGGTTGAATTAACTAAGGGTCTGATGGAGCTTTGGCCATTAGGTTCCCCAAGCGGTTTAATACAACAATGTCCCAGCAAAATGGGCAGTCATGGGAACATGCACTGAGTTTCTCTGCACCTCATTCGTCGATTCCTAATTCATACAGAACTCCCACAAAAGTCAATGGGAATTTTGCCTCCAGGATCAGGCTCAATATCCTGCCCTGCTTCTTCCAACTCTTTGGGAAATGGAAACAGATTAGCTGGTTTCTTCATGAAAATATAAACAAGCACTTGTATAAAGCAGGCAATAGCTAAAGCTGGTGAGATCAGCCCCAGGGGCTGCTTACAAACCAAACTGAAGTTCACTGAGACACAGGAGATGAGTGTGAAGGGAAGCCTGTCTGGAGCCTCATTCTTCCCCTCATGCTGTTTTTATGATGATGTAACTCCATTAACTTCAGTGGAGTTACTCCTGATTTACACTGCGGTGAACGAGAGGAGAATCAGGCTGTTCATGCCTGGAGACCTACTGACGACAAGATAAGCCTCCATATTACTGCAGCTAACGGAGAGGATTTGTTAGCCCGAATGACAGAAGTTTGAGAGTCTTTAGCATTCCGGGTTCTAGAATTCATGCTGCAGAGCAAAGGAGTGTAACCGGCAACTGAGTGTAAACTGGTAACTCTGCATCCAATAGCAGAGACCTAGCACAAACTGACCACACTGGAGACACTTGTGGATGAGAAAAGATCTTGTGCTTTCCAGTCATCAGGGAAAGATTCAACTGATTTAAGGGGGAGGACGGAATAAAAGCGTCAATGATAAAAGGAACATCAAGTGGATTTGCCTTATTAGGGACCAATATCAGAAGAAAAGATTCCAAAGTCTGAAAACGTCATCACGTTTGGGTCACTGTTAATTGAAGCCTTGGTTTGTTTTTGTTTGTTACAAACACACATTCTCATTTCTTAGGCAGGTATAAATATTGTAGTTTCTAGTAGAAAAAACTTCCCTCTAAATAATATAAAGAAGACTCAAATGATTGCACTTAATACATATGAAAAAGGTAGAAAGGACGATATCCTAGTGCACAAACATTTACTCCTGCTCTTCACATCGCTTGCTTTTCTGTCGACGAGTTACTCTTTGGCAGAGCTGGTAAGAGAGTCTGGTCTCTTGGCACAAGTGTCCATGGGGGAAAAAAATGAATCCAACTGAAAGGCTTCTCGTTCATTACCTTTTTTCTCCCATTCATCCATTGTTCTACAAGAACGCGGCTTGGCCATGCTTTCTTCAAGTGCAGAGAGACCAACCCAGCTCCCTGGAGAGATGCAGATCTCCCTTCCGCCCACTGGAACTGCCATTTGCTGTGATGCTTTTCAGCGTTGTCTTTTTTTTTTTTTTTTTTTAAGTATTCTTTTTTAACAAAAAAGTATATTTTTTTCCCGATCCCCCCTGCAAAGCTGTGTTGATATATATATATTTTTAAACCACAACACTGCGATAAATAAGGCATTACCTTCCACATTCAGGGCTTCCTTTGCGCTCAGTTCTTTGAGAAACAGCCCCTTCTGGCTGCAGCAACTTTCCTTTGCTTTGGCAGCTGGAGAAAGCCCCACAGCAGGAACAAAAATACCAAACTATATCCCAGGAGTGCAGGCTCTGTAGGTGTGTTTATGGCGCCTAGGAACAGAGACAGATTTGTACGCAGATGTGTAGTAATCAAGGGCTATCCAAAGGGCCAAAAAGGCAACCAGAGTGGCTACACTTAAGTTGCATAAAACAGAACAGGTCGCAGCTGCCTTGGCATGTAGAGGCCACTTGGGCTGAGAAGGAGCATCCCCATCTGGGACTGGTAATCGTTATGGGCTGCACCTCCGTAGTAAAACAGAGCATGGGATGCCTTGAGATTACAGACCGCCCCTGCTGGAGACAAAGTCAGCGCTGAGATGAGTTTGAAGAAAGCCAAGGAGAAATTGTTTAGAGTCGTCTGCATAGTGAGAGTTGGGGATTCTGTTTGTTTAAAAAGCTGTTTAGGAAAAAAACCCAAAAACCATCAAATAAGAGCAAAAGAAAGTTTCCTTGGCCGGAGGGCAGCCCATGGGGCGGGTGGAAATGCCTGGGGGCTATTTGTAAGGCCTGAGGAAGCTGGAGACTTTGGAGCGGAGGAGTTTGATGAAAGAGCGCGGTAACATCTCCTTGTGTTTCTCTGTGTACTTGAAGTAGTTCTGTGGATGAGCCAGCACGTCGAAGAAAGCCTTCATCAGCTTCTTGTCCTTCAGGGGAAACAAAGCAAAGTCACATCACCTCCAGGTAAAAGCTAGTTCTCACAATTAAAGCACAATGGATGTGGTCTGACTGATGGTTGGTCTAAAAGATCATACTTTGTGTTCTTATTGCATGGATCCAACGAGCTCAAATGCTTTAATTTACAGATGGGGAAACTGAGGAACAAAGCATCTAAACGCCTTGCCACAAGGGCACAGAGGGGATCAGTGGCAGGGTTGAGAATGGAACCCAGATCTCCTGACTCAGAGTCCCTTGCTCTAGCTCAGGGGTAGGCAACCTATGGTATGCGTGCCGAAGGCGGCACACGAGCTGATTTTCAGTGGCACTCACACTGCCCGGGTCCTGGCCACCGGTCTGGGGGGCTCTGCATTTTAATTTAATTTTAAATGAAGCTTCTGAAACATTTTAAAAACCTTATTTACTTTACATACAACAATAGTTTAGTTATATATTATAGACTTATAGAAAGAGTTCGTCTAAAAACGTTAAAATGTATTACTGGCACGCGAAACCTTAAATTAGAGTGAATAAATGAAGACTCGGCACACCACTTCTGAAAGGTTGCCGACCCCTGCGGTAGCTACTAGACAAGGCTGCCTCAGTCAATTTTAACTAGACTCGAAGAATGCAAGCAAGCAGCTCCACAGTAAAACAAGCAACAGAGAGACTCCAAAGAGTGTATGTGGGAGAACTAGACAGAGTGATGGGCACGCGATGAGCTACAGGACCACGAGGTTAAGCCATTGTATTTCAGTAGGTGAATTCTAATCCTGGGCTCCATATTGTGGCTCCAGGACACACCTGTGAATACTGGGAGTGCGTTAAGGACGTCAGGACGGGGCAGCACTAGGAGGAGTACCCATTGTACAGACAGGTAACACAAAGGGGAAGTGACTCGCCTGGAAAGTTAGTGGTAGAGCTGGGAACAGAACCCAGGAGTCCCGATTCCCAGTCCCGCTCACAGATGGTCTCACCTTTAATATTTCCTGATGGTTTTCAGAGGCGTACAGCCTGCCATCCCGGACAATATCCTCCACTAGCTGTTCATAATCCTCTGCAATGCCAAGCGAGAAAGGCAGTCAGGGGGAAAGCAGGTGGCACGAGCGCTCAGCTAATTCAGCGACAGGATGCTATTGTAAGGGTGGAATTCTGGGCTCCAGAAAGTAGCTAAATTGTACTCCGCCATGAGCTGAAAAGCTTCACTCCACAACTTATTGTCTCCCACATACCTGGAGCCCCAAAAGCTGGGGTGGTCCCCCCCCCACCCATGCAGAAGGCAGATGTTGCCAATCACTGTACTCAGGTGTTTCAAGAAACTAATAGATCAGGCAAGACACTTTACACTTGGGTTAGTTTAGAATGCCCCAGACAGGTGTATAGCAGTGTTGAGGAAACTCTGAGGCCAGGAAAGCCTTACGAGGCAGGACATTAGGTTATGAGTTCAGCCTGAGGCCCAGGGACTAGCTGCAGAACTGAGCACAGGGCAGATGCAGGAGGGTGGAGTGCAGGTGGGGCCAGGGTGAGGCAGTTAATCATCCAGAAAGGTACAAAACCATCTGGGAGAGAAGAGGGAAAGCCCACCCGGATTGGGAGAGAAGGGGCAGATTTACTTGGCACTTTACAAATATTTATGGTATTAATGATCATCTACTCACTGGTCACTTCTTAAGTCTCATTTCTAACCCCTTAGTTCCTTTCACTGTGTCTAGACAAGTACTGTACACTGGCAGCAAACTTCCTGACGTGTGTACCGTATTCCCTTCTAAGCTGGGTTGATAGCCCTGCCTATTAAGATTGCCTGAGACTTCCCATTGTAAGACCCTGTTTTCAATTGCTGATAACTTTGCCATGCTAAGCGTCTGGACTGAAATTTCCCATGCCAGGTGTCTGTCTCAGGCTGAACTGTTTTGGAAAAATTTTTAGCCCAAAGAGTTCAGCCACCGCGTGTAAGAACAAAATTAGGGAAAATATATTGTTTTGCCCATTTAAAAAAAATCTGGCAACCTTTTCTTTGAAAAGCTTTAGTGCCCTGGTGCTTTGGAGCAGGGACTTGAAATTTGGCAGGAGGGTGGCACTGTCACCTTTCGTCATCCCAAATTTGGCCAAATTACACCTGGCAGCTTGCACATGCTTCGTACAGACTTCTTTGTTTTTAGCAGCTAAATTTCCCAAAGATCCCGGGCACACTGAGCATGCTCCTGCCTAGGGCTGAGCAGGACTTGCCCTGCAATGCCGCTCTGGGCTGCTGCAGAGTCTGCTGAGTCTGGGGCCGGGCACCTGAACGGAGAGCAGGGAGACTGTCGCTTCTGAGCTTTCAATGACCCCCTGCTGGGCCCAGGTACTTGTGGAAAAAATAGCAGATGATCATGTAATGAAAGACGATCAAATATCCGTGTTAGTCTGTATCCACAAAAACAACGTGGAGTCTGGTGGCACCTTAAAGACTAACAGATTTATTTGGGCACAAGCACCCACGAAAGCATATGCCCAAATAAATCTGTTAGTCTTTAAGGTGCCACCAGACTCCTCATTGTTTTTAAAGACTGTATCGTAATGCATAGGCACAAGGGGCTGGGTTAAGGTTGCACACACAAGCTTAATTCTGGCATTTCCTAACTTGTGAGTGCTTGACTTTGCCACCTTAACATTGGCCTTTTGTGTGTGTAATATCATCTATGGAATTCCAATCTCTTTACAATGCTCAGTTTGAGATTTCCAAGACCACCAGGCGTCTGAGTCCTGCAGGCCGAGCATGTACACTGCAGTCCTACCCCTGCTCTTGCTATGCCCTCACATGCGCCATCTGTCCTGCGCGCCCCCACTTACCGTCGTAGGTGACGTAGGGGATCTGGAAGCCCCTGGCGCTGTTGGCCTCGCTGGTTTTGAAGTTGATCCACAGCTTGCGGGACCTGGCGGTGAAGGCTATGGGCCTCTCGTACGTCTGGCACGTCTCATAGGTTGTGATGGAGGAGGGGGAGGCTGCGGAGGAGGACACCACAGGACCAGGTGTTGCCTGGAATCATTCAGCCACACAAACACCCAGGTCCAGACATCTTTTTGTTTGTTTCAATATTGTGGGCGGGGGTCTCCTTGCCGAAGGGCCGTGTTATGAGAAAATAGGAGCTGACTGTAGGGCTCCGGTTCTACTCCTTACTCCAGGGGCCACCTTCCTCCTCCACCATTCAGTAGGGGTACCGAGGCACCTGAGTGCAACATTTTCAGAGGTGGGCACAGATTGTGGATGGCCAGCATTGGTCACCCAGGGGCCCGATGTTCAGAGGTGCTGAGCACCACGGAGTTCAATTAATTCTATGGCCACCTTTGCAAACGTGGAGCCGGGGCCCCTTCGCCCGACGGGACTGAGTGATGAGATTCTGATGTGGCGTCAGCATTGGGTGATGCAGCACAACAGCGTCATATGGAAACACTGCGCCTGGGGACTAGGTTGGCAAAGCAACAGGAACTGCTTCCAAGCCTCATAGCACCCCAGGGACTGTTCCCGCAGGGCACAAGATGGCGTCACTATAATCAGGGCAACACTTGGGAAGACATCTAGATGGAGACGAATCTGCAGCTGGGCAGAGTGGTTTCATCTCCTTGCCTGGGGCCAGGTGCCATGAGTGATGCACCACCAGGAGCCTTTACTGATGGGCATGCACCCAGCTCTGCAGGGAAGACAGCCCCAGGTAGTGAGGTATGTGGGGTGGATCCACTCCCCACAAACCCCACTCCCCGTAGTAGTTACCCACCCACAGCCCAAGGATGCAGACTTCCCCATTAGGCTGAGTGCATCAAACTTGGCCTACTTGGGACCAAGCCAGGGGTGAAGGCAGCTCTTTAGGGATGCATCGAGTTCACCTGCAGCGCTGTCACCCTCTCCTCCACACACGCCTGCTCCATCACGTACTGGGCTCCGCTGCTCCCAGAGGTGTCCGCAGACCAGACAGCCTGGGTGGTGGGGGAGGGGGGCTCTCACAGGATTACCCAGCACCCCCATTGCCCAGCATGGCCACACCACAGCAATCGGTTACCTACAGTTTTTCCGCATGACCAAGACATCCCCGCACTCGTCCTCGGATGGTAGGAAGATCTCCGGGACCACGATGAGGATCTTGCGTTTTGGGGGGGGGTTGATGTTCCAGGTGCACTCAATGTTGGCGGGGTAGTTGCCGGGGTAGTTGGGAGACTCGATGTAGCCAGTATATTCACCCAGCTCCCCTCCGCACTGGCGGTCTGCAAGGCAACAAGGACTAGTGGTCACTGGGAATTAGTTCCACTAGAGAATACGCTTCTCTGACATGGGGGCACTAGGCAATGATCAGCGGGCAGAAAAATTGGATCAGGCTATCCTGGATGTTCCAATCCTCTATGCACCGGGTTATCTGTGCCTACAGATGCACCTATGGTCACATCTATTAATGTGTGCATGTGACTGCGTGCATGGTTAGATGCAGCTGTCTGTGCACGTGATTGGGGGTGCATAAAGGGAAACAGCAAGAGGAGGTGGCCTTCTGCCAGGGCCAGGACTCAGACAGGGCCCTCTGGCTGGACATCATGCTAACAGGAAAACACAGCGACTGGCAGAGATTGTGTTGCACATGCGACATATGGACACAGCACCCGGGCTGCCTGAAGTGCGTACTTTTACACTGGGACACGGACGTGGAGCCGTCGAAATCCGTGGTGGTGTTGCCGGGACAGGTGATGCAGTAATTCTGGCGGAAGTCTGGTTGGTAGGTGCCCACGGCACAGCGGATGCAGCGGTGGACGCTGGTATTGTAGTAATGACCCGGGGAGCACTGAACTATGGTGAGAGGGGAGAGGAAAACGTACGGTCAGTGATCAGGTAAGGAGGCATCAGCTCACTGAGTCACTCCCAGCTGTCTAGGAGCCACAGCTCTCCTAGCTTCGCCAATCAGACGTTTTATTAAGCAGACATGAGTGATCAGAGCAGCCGGCTCCTGGTTCCCATTCCCAGCTCTGCTACTCCTTGGAGAGAGGTGAGTATTTTCCCTGCTTTACAGCTGGGGAAACATGGCCACAGAGAAGTTAGGTGACCTGCCCAGGATCAAGCAGCAAGTCAGTGGCAGAGCTGGGAGTAGAACCCAGGAGTTCCGATTCCCAGCTCCTACTCACACTTCCTGGAAGCTGTGTGCAAAGAGACTTTTTTTTTTTTTAAGTGACAGAGGTATTCCCATGTGAACTTTGGGGAAAGCATATTCAAGGCTCCTTTAAGGTGTTAATTTAGGCTGCTGTGACCTTCCTGTTTAGGATGGTTATTCTCTCTCTCTCTCTCTCTCCCCCCTCGGGGCAGCGACATGGATTTTGCATTAACTTCAACGATCCCCACACTTTGCAGCCCTTTAATAAGAGGAGAAATTGCATCCACATCATCATGCACTGCTAACTGCAAAACTCGGCAGACCAGATTTCCTTGTAATAAAGCTTAGCCTAAAAATAAGCATCCAATTATTACACTGTTATTATTAACCCTAATAAACACCAAGACCCCACATAGCTTCGTAACAGCAACACTGCGGAGTCCGAGTCCATTACTGGACAGTGCTGGAGTGCTCCTTTTGTAAGAGTATTTCTGGGGTACTAAATGCATCTGCGCAGCGTTACAACAGCCCTGCGAACATGCCTCCAATTCTCGTTCACTTTGGCAGCGTTATTTAAAGGGTGGGCAGATGGATTTTGTGCCTGGGCTGGTGGATTCGTACCGCCATCGTGCAAGGTGGCTCAACGAGCACGTAGCTTCTCAAGGAGATTGCAGTCTAACAGGAGAGCGGGGCAAATGGGACAGGGCGGGTGAGCGGATACCGCTGGGAAGGTGGGGGCGTAGATCGAAGCCAAGAGTTTTGGTGAAGGATGTGCAGGGCAAAAGGGAGCAGCGACGCAAGGGTGGGATTGGCCCCCCACTAGGCACTTGGCAAAATGAAAGCTTCCCGCCTCGCCGCCCACGTCGCTGTTGTGACGGGCCTGGGGAGCCGAAGAGGCAGAGGTGGGTTTGCGGGATGTAACGATAATGAAGCAGGCTCAGTCCTGGGAACTCAGGCCCCCAACCTCCCCTGGAGCTGCCCCGCCACTCTGATCTCCCCTGGCTGTTCCCCTCCCAGATGCCGACGGAGCTGCTGGCTTGGATGTACCTTTGGTATCGCAGTCCTGGAAGGAGAAGGCTCCCTCGTGTTTGGTGGTCAGCCCCCCACCGCAAGGGAAGCACAGAGCTCGCCCAGCTTCAGGCTGGTAGGCGCCCCGGGGACACGGCTGGCAGGGTATGAAGCCGTCCACTGAGTGATGGCCAGGGGGACACTGACCTAAGGCCCATTCGGAAATAAAAGAGAGATGTGGGTCAGTCATGCAATAATGCAGCCTCCTTGTGCCCTGAGCTCCACTGCATGTCACTGGTGCTGAACCCCAGACAGGGGGAGCCACAGGCAGTTCTGGCTCCTCCTCAGATCCGTGGGGCAGCCCCACTGGTTGCAGGCACCTTGCAGCAGCCTGGAAATTACCACCTTGTTGCCGTGTGACCCCCTGGTGACAGCTGCAGGTGGCTCAGAACCATTCAGCCCGATCTTTATTATTTACTGCAGCAGTCCCGAGGAGCCCCAGTCGTGGGTCTGGACCCCATTGTGCTAGGCGCTGTACAAACAGGACAAAGAGATGGTCTCTGTCCCCTTCTCTCCTGAACTCTGGAGGCTCTGATAAAATGGAGTGGATCTGATTCCCCCATGGTTCTGCACTTACAACCCCCCACCCCCTTTGGCTCATGACTGGGATGCATCCAAGTTTACCCTGCAGGAAGAACAGCCAAAAGCGGCAGCCCCCTGCAGTCATGCCGCCACACCTGCATCCTTACTGGGCGCTTGTGCTTCCCTCTTGTGTTTCTCGCCCATCCTGTTCTGAATGGAGAGTCGAGGGACAGCTCCAAGGGCCTGTCTGTGGCCAGGCAATGCAAGGAGCGCTGGTGTGGAACCCCTGGAGCTGTTTCATGCCTGACGCCGGGCCTTGAACAAGCCGGGGATGAGGTCTACAATGGTTTCTCTGCAGCGCAGAATAGAAGCCGCACACTGCACTGGTTCTGCTGGTGCTCCTAACCCCATCCCACAATGCCAAGCCCACCCAAAGGCCCTTGCCGGGCCCTATGGGAAAGGTAGTCAAGAACGGCAGAATGCCGCAGCTGTAAGGTGCCTCTTGGTTCCTCGGCCAGCCTCTCTGAGGTCACAAACAGCAACCGATCGACCCTGCACCATACCTGCACAGGTGGTTATGTTTGTTGCTCCAGCCGGGCCATACGCATCGCTTCCAGGGCAAAGGTCACAAGAGAGCTGGCCTTCTTTCTCCTGGTAGGTCCCTGGGGGGCAAGGGACACACTGCTCCATCTGACCGTGGTAATACATTCCCTGCAGGCAGCTAACTAAGAGAGAGGCAGAGCCGTTAGGGACACATGTAGCGAGAACCCCCACCAAGCTATCCCCTAATATGCCTTATTCTGGCTGCAGATGAGAGGCCCTCGGGGTCCCCAGCTCCTAATATTGACAAGTCAGTGCCTCTAAAGGGAGAACACATGGTAACTTCATCTATTGCCCGTCAGCACGTGGAGCACTGGTGCTGGCAGCGCTGGTGCTTGGGAGTTGTAATTCAGCACTAGGGGCCTACAGCTTAATGTGCAACTGGCCCCAGGCCCCCAGCCCCCCGGCTGTTCCCTTACCACACTTGGATCCTAGCCTTTGCTGCCCCGGCCCACAGCTCTCCTGCCTTTCCGGGGACATGCTCAGCTTCCGCGCCACCTCGTAATCCATGCCCGCGAAGCGGATCAGGAATCGCTCCTGGTTTATGGACTTCTTCAGGGCCTTGATTGCAGACTTCAGCTTCTTCTCCACCCTCTGCCGCAGGCAGTTAATATTGCAGCTGGCTAGAGGTCAGAGACGGGGGAGGGGGTAGACTATCAGGGTGAGCAAAGGAAAAGCAGATGACCTCCTAGACTGCTCCTCCCCATCCCTGCAGGGGCTAGTGGTGTGATTCCCCACCAATCTTTTATCAGGTGTGAGTGGGGTGGCAGGGACCGGGGGGGGGGGGGGGGGGGGGAACTCAAGCAGCAAAGGGGTATCTTCAGCTGGATTAGGGGGTTCCTCCTGACTACTCATCCCATCTCCCCACGCCCGAGCCTGGGCTGCTGCCCACCTCTGCATTTCCACACGCTGGGGGTGACTATACATCACTGCCTATTCTACCCACCTCCTCTTTTAGTGCCCAGCACCGCACCTGGGATGGCTCTGGATGTAACTGTTAAAGCGGCACTGTGGACAGCTGGAAGCTCTGTGCAACATTATCACTGGCCAGAGAACTAGAACCGGAGCAAGGAGTGGCAGGGCAAATTTCCCCCACCCTACCCCATCAGCCTGCTTCATCTACGTCTTGCGGAAGCCCCTTCTAGAGGTGCAGAAGGGGTTCAGTTTCCATGGTCTTTCTCAGTCCTTGGCCTCTGGCCAGACCGCCGGTGAGGGGGCCAGTCAGTGCAAGCCGGGACGGTGGTTTCCATGACATGGACGCCTGCCCAGAAGGAGCTGGTCTAAGAGCTGCCAAGCTCATTTCACACAGGCCATGGAACATGCTGCCTAGCAAGGTGTGAAGGTAATTAACAGCACAAGGCAAATGTTATTGGAGAGTTCAGACCAGTGCACACTGGGAAAGCCAGGGCTCTTACTGCTACGTGGGCTCACCTCAGTTCCAGTGCATTCTGGGATAGCCAGGCCTCTCTCCTCAGGCCCAAACCACTCTGGGAAAAACAGTCCTCCCAGTCCCATATCCCCAAACTTGGGATCGCCTCAGGCCCAGTGCACTCTGGGAAAGCTGGTCCTCTCAACCCTGTCCCTCACCTGTGACCTCTTCCGGTTTGATTTCTGCCTCAAACTCCAGGGTGATGCGTGTCACCTCCTTGTTGGGGGAGTTGCGGGCCCGGCGGCCTTTGCCCTTCTTTGATGAGTCACACTTGAGGTTCACGAAGGTCACCTGGCAATCCGAGCAGGGGGCCGCCCCGCCTGGAAGAGTGGGGGATAGAGAGTCAGGATCCTCCCCACAGCTCCCTTGGGAAACCCAAGCCCAGGTGGTCAATAGGGCCACTTCCCTCCACACAGCCATAGAGGAACTTACACGGCTGGTTGGGGCGGGTGGTGTGTGTGTATGTCTCACCTGGCGCCCCGTGCTTCCCCGACTCGTCCTGCTTCCCCTTCACGCGCGGGTGCAGGTGGCACTTGGCGTCCTTGATCTTGAAGGAAGCCTTTTGTTTGATTGGAGCAGCGACAGTCTCTAAAAGAAAAGGCAGGTGCTAAACACCAGAGGTACCAGCTGAGCCTCCTGCCATGGCAGCTGGGGGGCAGGGGAGGCTCAGACCGGCCCAGGAGAGCGACCTTACCCACGCAGTGATGGCTGCTGTTGCCAGGCCTCTGCTGGGCCCCCTGGCGCAGGATGGGCGTCCCACAGCTCACCGTGTAGCTGCTGTCGGACTCTGCAAAGAGGGAGAAAGGAGGGATTCAGACAGAGCCTGGGGCTCACTCCCGGCTGGCTTCCGAAGTGCTGCTCCGCTGCATCGCCCAGGGAGATCAGTGGGGGCTCAGCACCCTCGGAAATCAGGCCCTAAGCAGCTCACGTGTGCTGATCTGACCCCAACCTTTGATGCTCTAGAGACTGGTTCATTGCTGCGGGGTAAGGGGGCCAAGACTGGGGCCACAGTTGGGGGTGGGGCCAGGAGTGCAGCGGAGGCCCAGCCGGGGGTTGATGCTGGCAGCCGGGGCCCTGGGTGTAGGGCCAGGAGTGGGGCCCTGGGTGTGGGACCAGGAGTGGAACCCCAGGCGCGGGGCCAGGAGCAGAGCTGTGTGGTGCTCTCTCCCGGTGGGGGCTGGCCCGGGCCCCAGCCATGGCCCCCTGAAAGGTCCTCTTCACCCCCTGAGGGGAGTGCACCCTACAGTGTGGTGACTTCAGCATTATCCAGGCCTAAATCTAGCCTGTGCAGAGACATCCTGCTTCCCTAAGCCCCCTCTGTGCTTTCAACTACATATGGTGTTCTGTGGGGCACCGTTAAGCATCCACCTAAGTAGCGGGCAGGGAGAGATCCATATTTGTAAAGCCCTTTGGGACGGAAGGCGTTGGAGAAGACCAGTGCCCCGGGTAGGTTTCAGGGGAGATGTGGCCGCCACGGGTTGGTACCTGGCAGGAAGCGGGCCTTGGAGATGCAGGTGAGGGAGCAACTGTCCTTCTTGCCGTTCTTGTTGCAGGTGAGCATGGCCCGGTGAGAGATGGGGCCCGTCAGGCATTTCACCAGCTCTGAAGGACAACAAGCACTGAGTGGTGACAACAAGCAAGGGGCAACTCGGGGCCGACCAGCCAAGCAGGCGCTGCTCTGGGCACTGGGGGTGGGGAGTTATAATTGGGCCTACAAATTTAGCGCAATTGTGGGTGCAACTGAAAAAAGTGAGTGAAACTTCATTCACGATAATCTATCGGCATCAATAGTGATCGGGAAAGTTGCAACAGGGAAACAGAGAGACTGAATTAGTAGAAACAAAAAGACCTCCTGATATCGCTCAAGGACGGCGTTTTGATCGTCCCTGGTAAACCAAGCACCGTGAGACTGAACCATCAATGAATCAAAATTGGTGGGTCGGAAATTAGGCCTAATTGGTGGGCAAAACAGTGAGGGGATGGGCTACACAGTCCATCACTCCTTCTGGGGTCCTTACAGAAAGAGACTTTGAGAGACAAATTGGCGACTGGAGTGAGCTTCACCATCATGGCTGCCACCCCCACCATCTCCTGGGTCCCTGGGCCTTCGTCATTCTGATCCTGAGAGATGTCCTGACCACACCAGGCCAGAGAGAGAGGGAGTCACATGACATCACCACCTCCACTGGCTAAATCCTGACCACCACCTGGGATGTGAGACTTTTTCTCTCCCCCCGGGCGTGTTCTTCTCCTTCCCCACCATCTTTCTTCTATTTCCTCTCTCTCTCTCTCTCCTTTTTCCTTCTGGCTAAGAAGAGTCTGGCTTAGCTGGCCAAGACTGCCTATTTTGCAACACTGCTGGAAACCTGTGACCAGAAAGAGGCAGCTAAAAGCCCATTTATTCTATCCAAACTAATACAACAGTGGGACTCTAACCTTACTCCCAACTCCACTCCTGCCACAGCATCCATCCTCCTCCCTGAGCCACCTGCTTCTGCTGAGGGCCATCCTTGCAAGACAAGGGTGTGTGTGGTGTTCTGGGTTCTCCCGCACAGCTTTACACTCACACACTCAACCTGGGGCCATGAGTCAGCAGATCATCTTGAGGGGTGAGAGGCACTTGCTGGGGTTTCACTCACTTCTTCATTCTGAGGAGGCTTTGCTCAGTCTATCCCATCCCTTCTCTTGGCTGGTAATGGAAGGGAATCAACTGGGCACCACAGTGTTGCTGCGGGCTGTTAAAAACAGCTGCTGTGTCCCTCCCCAGAGGTCGCTGCATGTCCAGGGCAGGTAAAGAGATTTTTATAGGTATATCTATCAGCAAAGTGCTTTGGGATCCCTTGGGGAGAAGAGCACTATGTAAAGAACAAACAGAATTTGACTCAGGTCAGAAATAGCCAGGGGAAGTTCGGCAAGTGAAGGACGACACTTTCTGATGCGCACTTTTCTAGGTGAGGTGCCAGAATTTCCTCTACCGCTTCCCAAACTCTCTCTTCTCTTGAGTCCAGCAGCCCAGGAGAGATGGGTTTGGGGGAGGAAGGGGGCATTTAGATCAGGAGACCACCGCATGAAAACCAGCTCCACAGGCAGCATGATCTGGCCCCCTGTGCTAGCAGTCTCAGCAGAGGGGCGAAAGGCAGATTGGGGCATGGAGCCTGAACCCGGCATGACACTCGGACCAAGAGAGGACGCTATATGCCGGGGTGCATGGTCAACGTGCACCCAGTGGCCAAATCCAACCCATAAGCAGCACCCTTTCTGCTGCACCGTCTCCCCATACAAAGCACCTTCACAGCAAAATCCACCTGGATCAAATCTATCCACCACGTCCTGGCAAGGACCGAATAGAAAAATGCAGATCTCTGTTCAGGCTTTGCCGGCTGACCTATGCTCACCCACTAGATGGCAGCATGGGTTTTCTCTACCCACCTATGCAGTCCTTTTTGTTCCAGTGCAGTTTGCAGCTGGCCGGACAGGTACACTCGTAGCTGCCAGGGGCGTTTACGCAGCCGAATTTGCAGCCTCCTCGGTTGATGCTGCATTCATCGATGTCTGCAGGGAGCAAAGCGAGACGATTACTGAGAACTGGAATTGCCATGCTGCATAAAGCAAGCTCTGTTAGAGGTTACAGCAGGCTGAGCGGGGGCAGGGCTCCTGGATTCTATTTCTAGCTCTTGGAGTGTTCCAGCAGTTACAGCTGGTGGGGCAGAGGTTGGCAGCCAGGACTCCTGGGTTCTAATCCTGGCTCTGCCACTGACTCACTGTGCAGTCCTGACCAAATCACTTAAGGCCCCATTTTCAAAGCAGCCTGTAATTCTGGGTGTCCAACCTGAGATGCCTCGGGCCGGATCCCACAGCTCCGATTAGCACCAGTGGGGAAGGACACGTGAAACAAGAGGAGAATTTAGTCCAACACGTGCAGGGACGTGAGTCCCCTCTTCACAGCACCCTGCTGCATATCAGCTGTGACTCAGGATGGCACTGCCCCAGGCACTCTCCGTAGGGAGAAAGTAAGGGCACGCACTTCCGGACAGCAGCTAGCCCTGACTCCCAGGGCGCGATGACCATTAATCAGTACTCTGGGGAGGGACACTCTGGAGAAAGGCTTGGAGGACGGCAGAAAATGAAGCTGCCCCACGGTAACAAACAGGACAAGACCCGGCACGTATCCAGCAGCACTGCCTGTGAGGGTCTCAAAGCCCCGTGTGAGCAGGAACCCATTACGTCTCCCAACCCCACTCTACAGAGGGGCAAAGGGACTTTTTCAAAGTCTCATGATAAGTCAGGGCAGAGCCAGGGAGAGAACCCAGGTGTCCTGGCACCCAGGCAACTGCTTTAACCACTAGCCCGACCCCTCTTCTCAGAGCCTCCCCCTGGAGCCAGGGTCAGAGGAAAAAAACTGCCAGCGGCTTCTCTGGTAGGATGTAGGAGAAGTTCCCTGCTCAAACTCCTGCTCAAACTCCTCAGCTCCCTGAAGCTTCTTCTCACCTTTGTCCCCTTGCTGACAGCCAGGCCGAGCGTGAGCACAGCCCCATAATCATCCTCATCCCCACCCCAAGAGCTCCCTGCAACCAGCAATTTCAGCGGCTATTTCCATTAATCAGGAGCTGTCCTCTGATCACTCCTCCCACAAGCCAACAGAGCGCCCACTGGCTGGGGAAAGCAACTAGAGCAATGGGTCCCCATAGAGAGCTAAGCAATCCCCCCACCTCGCTGGGACTCCAACCATGGCCTTGGAGGTCTGCGAGCAGAGCCAGACCCAGCTCCTCCCAGCTGGGCAAGAGGGAAAGGGAAGGGGAAGGGGAGTGCAGGGCTGGGCAGAGATCCAAGGTGAGCAGAGAGTAGAGGGGGATGGTGAGTGACCAGGAGCAACCTCAGGGGTGAATAGCCCATGATGATGGATGCTATGGAGCAATGTAAGACTGAACAGCTAGATGGGAGAGGCAGACCAGAGATGGGGATAAGGGACTCTGCTCCCTGCTCCCACCCCCCACCCCACCCTCTTGGGGTCAAGGTCAGTGAGAGGATTACTGTCCTGGCCGAAGGCACTGCCAATGTGAACCTGGTTTTGACCCAATCCCACCATGTCAATTGCTTCACAAGCTCCGCAGTGGATGGCAGGGGAGCTGCTCTGCCTTCCCTTCTTCACAGCCCTTTCGATCACCCAAATGGGCCGATCTTATTAGGGCTCACGTCACCCACCACTGAAATGCATCCGTCTCTGGGGTGGAAAGCGACAGCTGTGTTACAATGCACAGCAACGCTGCATCTCAAGAAGTGAAGACAAATACTGTATCCGACCGACCCACAGGAAGGTGGGAAGGAATTTCTCAACTGAATTTGGTTAGGATGCGGGGGCTAACGCGCCGACTCCTGACACAAGTGCTATCGGTGGAGGGGTCTGTCATGAGCCAAAGGATCGGGGCTTTGGTTTATTTCTTATCCCAAACCATGGCAGCTCCTCCGTGACAGCAGCCTTTGCACCAACTTTGCTGGAGTGCTGGATTCAGGACTGACTCAGAATCACCAGCACCACCCTTGTCCCAGGCTGTGTCCTTGGTGGTTTTTCTCACTAACGAGTGGCTGCTTTCTCCACCAGCTGGAATTTCTGTGTGGCTCCACCTTTACCCCCAGACACAGGGAAATAAAGTAGCCCAGCCAGGTGGTGACAAACATTTGGCTCATAGGGACTAGATTCTCTGTCTAGATTGCCTCGCAGGGGCAGCTGAAGTGCTCGATAGAATCTTCTTTTTGTTTTCTATGTGAAATCTCTCCGTTGGTGGGAAAACCAATCACTCTGCTAGGACGGGGGACCAGCCAGACATAGAAAGACAGGACTTAAAAACTAGATTCCATTTAGCAGCTTTGCTCTCAACGCTCGATTTGCATCCTGGATTCTGGATTCCTAGTTTGTCATCTATTTCAGCCACCCCACATTCATTGATTCATCAAGCCTCAGGCCAGAAGGGAACATTAACTCACCTAGTCTGACCCTAGGGTTGCCAACTTTGTTTGGATGAATTCCTGGAGATTTCATCACATGACATAATCTTTAGTTGAAGATTCATCTTTAATTCTGGAAACTCCAGGACAATCCTGGAGGGCTGGCGACCCTATCTGACCCTCCTATATACCAGGACAGAGAAATTCACCCCATGACCACCACACTGAGCCCAGTAACGTGTGTACTCCTGAGCGGTGTGACACAAACCAAGAGCCCTTCCCAACATCCTGCCTCACTCTCTCTGCAAACCGCAGCCAGCAGGCGGTTTAAGCCGGCCTCTGGCTTTACGAGAGGTTTTATAAACCTCCTCCCTCAAGGAACTCTTCTGCTCCCAATGGGAGGGACAGCACTTCCCTGTCCGGCGTGTTTAGCACATGCTGTGAGCGAGCGCTCATGGACAAGTGTGGCTGCCTGTCTGTGTTGACCCGCTTGTGTGTTTGTGTCTGCATGCAAGTGGGCATGAAATCACAGCAAGGACTCACTGGCTGTATAAACAGAGGCAGCCTGGCAAGAAAGATGGAGCAGAGCTGCATTCAGTGGGTGAAATCCTGCCTTCATTGAAGTGAATAGCAAAACTCCCATTGACTTCAGCAGGGCCAGGATTTTATCTGGGGCAGGCAGGGACCAGGTGTCTAACAGGGGGGCTCCTGGGTACAGGGTTCACTGAACATTTAGGTATGTGAGTTTGACAACACTAGTCCAGCCTGCCATGCCAATGACATCTAACTGAACTGAACTGGGATTATTTAGTCTGCAGAAGAGAAGAATGAGGGGGGATTTGACAGCTGCTTTCAACTACCTGAAAGGGGGTTCCAGAGAGGATGGATCTAGACTGTTCTCAGTGGTACCAGATGACAGAACAAGGAGTAATGGTCTCAAGTTGCAGTGGGGAAGGTTTAGGTTGGATATTAGGAAAAACTATTTCACTAGGAGGGTGGTGAAGCACTGGAATGGGTTACCTAGGGAGGTGGTGGAATCTCCTTCCGTAGAGGTTTTTAAGGTCAGGCTTGACAAAGCCCTGGCTGGGATGATTTAGTTGGGGTTGGTCCTGCTTTGAGCAGGGGGTTGGACTAGATACCTCCTGAGGTCCCTTCCAATCCTGATATTCTATGATTCTATGAACTGCATTTACATTGACTCCATTGGAGCTGCAGCACTTTACATCGGCCGAGAATATGCCCCATCATGGGCACTTGCGTTTGCTGGACGTGGGAGGTGCGTTCTCAGTCTGGATTGTGTTTACACAGGACAGGAAGGGACTTCCTGAGTCATCGAGTGCAGTCTCCTGCTATCACAGGCCATCACAGAATCAAACGGGTTTCCAGGTAGAGGCATTTGCACTGGTCTGTGCAAGCATCTGTTGTGTGTGCACAGGATGGTGGGGGTGTTGTGCAGGAGGGTGCATTCGTTGTGTGCGTGAGGGCTTCTTTGTGTCGGTGCACCAGCCTTAATCTAGGTAATCCAGGGTATCTCGATATACGTAACTTGCACTGAAAACTACCGCTGCAAACCACACTGCTGCCGTAACACGCCTGAACAAACCTCTTTGCGCTTTTCATCTTCCCTGCTATTCCCTCGGGCACAGGCTTCCCCTTCCCTTGCGCTCGGGAGTTATCTGATTCGGGAAACTCAACTCAAAACCTTTTTGAAGTCGTCCCCCCCACCAACTTTGTGCCAAGAACTCTGGGGATTTTTTCTCTCTCTCCCTGAGCGGACAAGTCGCAAATCGCTCCGGTCGCTTTGTTTGAAGTTGCAGACACAACTGTCTGGCTCCCTGCACCCACTCGGCTTATGGAGCTCCATTTATTTAGGAATCGTCAGAAAGAGAGAAATCCCCTCCCCCCTTGGCATCCACCTCGCTGCTTACAGGGGGAGGCAAACGTGGCAGCGGGGGCCCTGTTTTCCTATCCGAAGAGGTTAAGCCATTGGAATAGTCAGGAAAGAAGCAATCAAAGTCCCAGAGCGGATTGGGATACTAGGGACTCAACTGCTCCGGAGAGGAGCGCAGTATGGGACTTCCCCACAACCGTGATCCCAGTGCCTGCGTCCCAAAGATCTCTCTGCCATCCACTCCTCCTCAAGGGACACCTGGGCGGCAGTCCCTTTCATGGCTCATCCAGCCCTTTCTGAACACCTGTATGCTAGCTGCATAACCCCCCAACACACGCACATGGTTCCTGTCTCCTGCTGGGTAGCAAGAAATGTATCCCTGGTAGGAGCACAGAGATGGCCAGACTGCGTCAATTCATCTAGTACAGGATCTCGTCTCTGACAGCAGTAAGTATCAGATGCTCCAGAGAAAGTGCAAGAAACACCGATGTGAGCAGTTCCAGGAAAACCTGCCTGGGATAGTTTCTTCCTGTCTCCCAATAGTCCGAGACTGGCTTCTCGCTGACACAGGAAGCTTTAGACCACTTGTTCGTTTTAACCCTTATCTATATCCTTCTCTGAATCCTCAGCTCTTGGCCTCAATGATAACTTGTGGCAATGAGTTCCACAGCCTAGCCATGCAGTATACTGAATCGTACATGTTAAAGCTGGAAAAACCCTACTGGGCTCCATATAGCCCAGCCCCTCTCCTCACCCCAGGAAACAAGGCAAGACTGTTCCATACAATCCTTCTCCAGGGCCTGGTCCAGTCTAGTCCTAGGTAGCCCAAGTGATGGGACTCCCAGCCCTTCCCTGGGGAGACGATTCCCCTGCCAGAGAGATCCCACTGCCAGGAAGCTGGCAAATGGGACAGTAACTCTCATACCTCCACAGTGGGTGAGCCCGTACAGCGTGTAGCCCTTGTGACACAGGCACTGGAAGCTCCCTGGGGTGTTGACACAGACGTGGTCACAGGTCCTGTCGAAGGAGCATTCGTCAATATCTGGGAGGAAGAGGGAAAGACAGAGAGCATGAGGCAAGGCCCGGCCCAGCCAGGGGGTGGGCTCCACAGGGGTCTCGAGCCCCGGGGCTTGGCTGGCTTCTCAAGGGTTCGATTCCTTCCCCACCCACCTCCAGCGTCACCCAGAAAGACTGAAATGAATACTCCTGCTGTGCACAGCTCTCTCCCACTGTGCCAGAGGGGTTGTCCAAGTCCAAAGCCCTGCAGGGAAGAGCCAGCCGGGAACGGAGTCTATACCAACATCTGCTCCTTTACCCTGCATAGGACAGGGGGATGGGAGCACCCCAGAACACACCCCTTTCCCAGCCCCACTGCCACACTGAGTCTCCCTAGGTCTATGCAACGCTGTGCCCCTGGGCGGGTTATCCGCAATGAACCTGGGACCTCTCAGCAGGAGCCTCTATGGCTGGAGCCAAAAGACCTGTCTGTGTTAGCAAAGGATGTACCAGGGTCATCAAACTCCACCTGCGGCCCAGCCAGCACTAGAGGGCGACAGAGCTCCACAGTGGGTGGATTATGCCTCTCCGCCCCCCCAAGCCCAGCCTTTACCCTGCCGCAGAGATGCTTTGCAAGACAAAGGGCTTGGCTACACTGACGCTTTACAGCGCCGCAACTTTCTCGCTCAGGGTGTGAAAAAACACCCCCCTGAGCGCAGCAAGTTACAGCGCTGTAAAGCGCCAGTGTAAACAGTGCCCCAGCACTGGGAGCCGCGCTCCCCGCGCTGTAAACTAATCCCCTCGGGGAGGTGGAGTACCTGCAGTGCTGGGAGAGCTCTCTCCCAGCGCTGGCGCCGCAACCACACTCACACTTCAAAGCGTTGTTGCGGGAGCGCTCCCGCGGCAGTGCTTTGAAGTTTTGAGTGTAGCCACAGCCAAAGGGTTAAATCCCAAGGTGCCAGCCTAGAATGGAAAGTCCCCCGTGGGGTGGGGGGGGGAAAGCAGCTGCAAGCTCCCCAATGCCATGGGTCCAGGGACATGTGATCCAGCACACCTTCCCCCCTCCTCCGCCCCAAATGGAAACCAAAGCTGCGATCCCCTGGCAGAGCCCCCTCCAAGGAAGGTGCCAGCGTCACCCACTCTGCCCTGCGGGGGGCTTCGTTGTGGGAGGGCGGCACAGTCTGCAGGGGCAAACCTGGCCTGCAAGGTTTATTTTTATTTCATTGGCTTTGTTAACTTAATTGCCACGATCAGATCAAACTTCCAAGAATGCAGAACCTGGATGGAGATGAAAGAGGTGCCAGCCAAAGGCACACCAATCCCCCACCGCCGACCTCCCCAGGGCCTGGCCCCGTGCACTCAGCAGGTAACACCTGTACTCTGTCACACCCCAGCGACTCACGGCTTCAGACACTCACCCAGCGATGAAGGGCCCAAGTGCTGATTCAGGGAAGGCCTGGGAATCTTGGCATTGGGGGGGAGGGGGAGGTGCAGATACCGGCCCCCCTGCATACTTCAGCTCAAGGCTGGTCTCGTTCACAAGTGAGATGAGTTGGGTGACCTCAGACAGATAATACTTTGCATGCCCATGGGGCCTTTCATAAGAAGATTGCAAAGCACGACTCTCTCCCACCCAGGGAGAGAGTTAAAGTTTATTCCATTTTACAGATGGGTCTACCAGAGAGGGGTGAGCCCATGGCAGAGCTGGAAACAGAGAACCCAGGAGTCCTGGCTCCCTGTCCCCTGCTCTAACCAGTAGTCAACACACTGCCTCCCTTCTCTGCTCCAGGCAGATCAAGTTGCATGAGCATGGAGGAAGCTGAAAGCGGTAGGATAGAAGTGTTCTGTTAGGGACTGAGGGTTTGACCCCTCCGTGCCCACCCAGCCAGTCCCTGCCTTACCTCTATGGTCCACGGTGAAAACAAATGTGGTTGATTACAAACCACAGCACAATCCCAGACCGCGCATGCCATAACCCCACCCCTGTTCATTCCAACCAGCTGGGCCACTTGGCGAAGGGCAATTCCCAGGGAAGAGGGCAGGAGGGGATGGGCCAGGCTGTTTATTCCCATTAAGGTTCCTGAGAGTCCTGGCTGCCTCTGAAGAGAACAGATCTCGGAAAAAGAAAATGGCTGGCGTGTGTGTGCCCACGTGTGTATGCATATGTGTGAATGTGCACATGTGTGTGCCGTAGCCAATGAGATGTCAACCCATCCCCTGGATCCCCTGCAAAAGTCTTGTGCAATAAACAACTGCCATGGTCTGTAAAAACAGTGACGTGTCTGAGTATGTTAACGTGCGAATGAGGCTGCACGCATTTCCCTAGGTTCAGAGGGCATCCTGTGCCCCATGTCTCAGATCCCCTGAGTTTAGCATGCGTGTGCGTGCGGCCATGCATGTAGCTGTTACATAGATACACACATTCCACAGAAAGACATGCCAAGGTGTGATAACACTGAATGCCCGCAGGCTTTCGTGTGTTGGTTGTAAGCTGTGGTCTCTGAGATGTTATCTGGCACGCCCAGTGAGGTTGTTAGTTGATTCATAGGCCAGAAGAGATCATTACGATCATCTCATCTGACTCCCCACGTAGCACCAGCCAAAGAACCTCACCCAACGATTCCTGCAGCCATCCCCTCGGTGGCTTGACGATCCGAGTAACCCCGCTGACTGCGGATAGAGCCACGCCTGGAATTTCAGCCCAGTTTCGCAGACTCAAGAGACGGGCCCAGACCAGAGCCCAAAATCCAAACACCTCTGAAGCGTGAAGAGGTTTGGATCAGGAACTTGCTTTCACTGCTGGGCCCCTGAGTCTCTCTCATGGCCTCAGGCCTGGGAGAAGTCTAGGAGCTGAATTTTGAGACTCTGGGAGTCCCCTGGGGCCAGATTTTTAAGTACTCAGAACCCACAATTGGGGCCAGATTTTCAAAAGTGCCCAGCTTCTGGCTGCTCCCACTGAGAATAATGGAGAACCCCGCCATGCACACCCACGCCGAGAACAATGGAGAACCCCCACCCCCACGCCCACCCACGCACTGAGAACAATGGGGAACCCCCTCCCCCATGCACGCACACGCACTGAGAACAATGGAGAACCCCCTCCCCCATGCGTGCACACCCATTGAGAACAATGGGGAACCCCCTCCCCCATGCACGCACACGCACTGAGAACAATGGAGAACCCCCTCCCCCATGCCCACACACACACTGAGAACAATGGGGACCCCCCTCCCCCACGCGCTCCCACTGAGAACAATGCGGAGCGGCTGAACAACCCTGGCCACCTTTGCTTTGGAGACATGGGATGTTTTTGATGCTAAGACAAAGTCCTTTGTACCTGAAAAGCCAAGAGTGCTTGGGGGTGACGCTGTCAGCACAGCATGCGTTAGCCATCAGAAGTGCCCCCCATGGCTAATTCCTCACTGGGAGGTGCACAGCACCCCTCCACGACTCCATTCGACACTGCGTCGCTCCCAGGGGAGTGGGACCAGCTACCAGCCCTGGAGCCCCTCCACGGGACGTGGAACCCAGTTGCGCTGCAGGCCCCGCGCGGCGCTCACCTTGGCAGGTCCTTTCGTTGATCAGCAGCTTGTAGCCTTTCTTACAGCTGCACTCGAAGCTGCCCACCGTGTTCCTGCAGATGTGGTCGCAGCCGCCATTGTTCAGCCGGCACTCGTCGATATCTGTGGCGGGGAGACACAAAAGGTCCCATTACGCAGACTGACTGGATCCAGCGACACAAGCAAGGGGGGTGCGGTTAGAGGCGAAGGAACCAGCTGCCCAAGAAAAGAAAGGACGGCCCGGCGGTTAGGGCACTAGCCCTGCAATCAGGAGACCCGAGTTCATGTCTGTGCTCCGTCACCGACGCCCTGTGTGATATCCCTTGTCTCTCGGTGCCTCGGTTCCCCATCAGAACGCTAGGGAGAACAGCGCTGCCTTCTCAGGGGGGGTATTGGCCAGCTCAATGTGGCACAGATTGTGAGACGCTCTGATAGTATAGTTATGAGAGCTGCCATCTAAGTGCCTCAGCTAGATGGATATTAAAGTCAAGGGGAGTTTTGCTATTGATTTTAACGGGAGAAGGACTGGGGCCTTTGATGAGCACAGCTACCTGTGATGGGACAGGATGATACAATACAGTCAGAGGCCAGGAGGAAATCAAGACACCCGGGCTCTATTCCCAGCTCTGCATCCTTGGGTGAATCGCTGCATCTCAGTTTCCCCATCTGTCCAGTGGGGATTAGACTACGCACCCAGCTCACAGGGACGGAAGGAGGATGAATGAATATCTGCAAAATGCCTGGATGTCCTTGGTGGAAAGCATCCGTTCTGACACAGATACAAAGATTCTGCGCAGTCGCTACTGGCAAGTGGGGCTGAGGGCTCTTGGGGAACACGTGCGTTAGCAATAGAGAGACTGGCAGAAAACAAGAAGGGGAAAAATCACCCTCAGAAGAATAGGAGTTAGACAAAATAAGCACGCAGGTTTCTAAAACTTCCCGACTTTTAGGCAACAAGCGACACTAAAAAATAAATACCACCCCACCCCCGCATTTCCAAAGAGCTTCTATAACCTGCTAAGCGGTTGGGTTTGGTTTTGTACTCGCCTGCAAATTTACTGCTAGGAAATGACCTGTAAAACAGAACGAGCCTGGGCTGACAAATCCCAGGTAAGAGCTCAGGGCAGACCTTGCCCAAAGCTCCATTTGCATCCCTCCCCCACTTCTGTGTTGCCTTCAGCTCCAGGATGACAGCTGCGGCTCTCTGGGGTTGTGGCTTTTCTTTTATTATGGTGAGTGAACTAGCCATAAAACAGCTCACAACTGTAATAAAATCCCAGACACAGGGGATATGGCTCTGGGTTATTATGCTTTCCTGGAACTGCAGAATGGGAAAGGTGGTGTGCTCTGAACAATAATAATGAAGCCCAGAGGGGTCTGGAATCGGTCAGGCAGGTAGATGGCTTTCAGCAGGATGGTGCTTTCCTTTCAACTACGGTCAAGGACCCCAAGCTGCCAAAAGACAGAACGCAGGCGCCTTCCATTTCTGGAGCTTCACCTTCTCTCCTGGGGGCTGGCCGAGTCAAGGGTCTCCCGCTGAAGGGATGGCATGTATCTGGAACCCCAAGCTCGTATGTGCGTGAGTGTGTGTGTGTGTGAGACAGGATCTGTCTCTTTCACTCACATACACTATGCACATGTGTTGGTGATACCCCTAATTCCTCCAAATGTTCCTCCTTTTTTTTAAAATAATGTAGTGAATTTGCTGCTAATTTAAAACACGATGGATTGATGGCCGTTCGGCCAGCATTTCTGTTTAAGTACAGCCCCAGCAAGCATGGAAACTTCTATTTGCTCCTACAATTCATTTTGCAAGTGCAAATTTCACGGGTGAAAGTTGTGTCAGGAAACAATGAACACAGCTGAAAACAGACCCAGACAGCCCATGCAACGCAGCCATCCGCAGCTAAGGGCGTGCATGGGTTATTACTCAGTAATACCACACAAATAGCATATATACCTCTAGATCTGCCATCCAGGAACCTCAAAACACTGCACAAACATTATGTCCACTCTCACTTTGGGATAATGGGTCAATTTCCTTGGCACCCACACATTATGAATCAGCCATGACCACCGTCAAGAATATGATTCATCGTTGCAAAGAGTGAAGTTAGCCTCTCAACACCCTGACATAGGGCCGTGTTATCCCACTTTAAAGATGAGCCATCAAACAGGGAGACAGTGTGTGACTTGCCCAGGAAGTCTGTAGCAGAGCTAGGAGCGGAATCCAGATTCCCCAGCTCCCAGTCTTTTGATTTCATCACAAAATCAGCCTTCCCCACAGTCCCCCCTTGGATGTTTCAACCCCATTTCACAGGGGAGGGAGCCGAGGCAGAGAGGTTCACGGAGTTGCTGCAGGTGAAGGAGTGAGTCACTGGGGTTGGCATGCAGAAGTCCTGGCACTGAGAACCCTGCTCTAACTGCTAGCCCACCACAGTGTTTGTGCTGCCAGGCTGCATGACTGCCGCCAGACTGAACCTTCCCCTGCCTCTGGATTTCACAGGGAACGGGGCTGACACAAGGCAGCTACAATCCCTGGCTCACAAGGAATCGGAACAACAGGGCTGCTGTTCCCAGGCAGAGCCGGGGTGGGGGCTGGGAAGTGGGATTTTAACGCCTCTGAACAACAAAAGTTCCAAAAGGCGCCCCAGGGGACAGGGTGCAGTGCACCTCGCCAGCGATCCCAGGTACGGTGCACCTTCCCAGGTAAGCTCGGGGAGCGGGGACAGTTCGGCTGGGAAATGCAGCTCCCTCCCTTTGTAGGTGAACTGGTTTCCCAATGACAAGGTTCAGAGTAGCAGCCGTGTTAGTCTGTATCCACAAAAAGAACAGGAGTCCTTGTGGCACCTTAGAAACTAACAAAGAGCATTTCATCTTCCACAGTCCGATGTACAGTCTGGGTAGAGGCCTCTGTGCTGGCTGGGAGTCAGCCCTCGCCCTCAGGTCTAACCGCATTGGCCTGTCGGAGGGCGGGGGAGGAGAGGAGAGCACCTCATGTTGCCAAGGGGGCCAGGTGCTTAGGCGCCAGATGATGCAGGTAGGTGCTTTTGTCCACAAGGTGCCTAAGCAGGTTTGGTGCTTAACTCCCAGGAAAGTCGATGGGACTTCGGTGTCTAACGCACTTAGGCACTTTTGTAAATCCCACTCAACGCCCATCTGCATTGTTAGACACCTAAATCCCTTTGTACATCTTGCCCAAACTCTTTGGAGTCTCCTGAGATACTCAAGCCCCAGCCCGTCAACCCATGCACACACCACAGTGCCTATCACCATAGTATCTAGGCACAGATCTCCGGTGTAACACCCATCACCATAGGACCTCAGTATAGATCTACCTCAAACACGGGGTCTAGCACGCAGCACCCACAGGTCACCATCCCCACGTACGAGGAAGACTTAGTACAGGGGTCCACCTCCACCAAGAATTCTGCTCTTAAAAACCAGCACCCTGCCTGGCCCACGAAGCCTCCAGAGACACCGGCTGGTGGGGACAGCCCCAGGCTCTCTTATGGCACAGCAATGCTCTTCCGCATGGGGTTTAATCCTTACTGAACCATTGCAGAGCAGACTGCAGTAGGGCTGATGCGGGAGAGAGGAAGATGGCCTCTTATCACTAACAGCAGGAACCAGAGCTCCCCAGGGAGACATATGTGGCTGTCTCATCAGTTCCACGGCCACTGAAACGTTTCTCCATGCACGGCAGGAGGCTCTGGGTATGAGGGGATCTGGATGCAAGGGGGTTGCAGCTGAGGAGTGATGGGTGCAGGAAGTGTTGGGGGAAGAGGACTAGCAGCTGAGCCCGGCGCAGGGTAGGAGCCACGAGCCCAGTCTTCCCCAGTTCTGCTCCCTGCCCCACAGTGATTTACCTCTCTGCCGGCTGCCCTGGGCACCCGAAACATACTGCTGGGGAGGGTCATATGACCGCTCTTGTGACGTCCCTTTGCTTCCCCATCAGAAAGTCATTTTTCTGCGAGGAAGCAAAGAAATCTGTGGGAGTCATAAATTCTGCACATGCGCAGAATTCCCCCAGGAGTAAAAGTTGCTCCCAGCAGAGAATAATCCCCTAACAGGAGAGCTGCTGGTTCCACACTCCTCCATATAATCTGGGCTCAAAGCTGCCAGGCCCTCGCTCGCTGGTCCCTTACCTTTGCAAGTTTTCCTGTCTGGCTGCAGCATGAAGCCCATTGGGCAGCTGCAGTGCACACCCGTGGCTGCATCATGGCACTTGCTGTCACAGCCCCCATTGTTCACGGCGCAGGTCTCTGCATGGGGAGGAAAAGAGAGAGGTTAGCAATAAATGCTTTTAAAGGATGCCCAATCTAGGAGTGAGGTGCAAACACGCTGCTGAGGTGACTTCGTGCTGGGTGGGTTCGAGATCCCAAATGGAAATATCTACACTGCTATCTTTAGCAGGCTAGTATGAGTTTCACTACACGGGCTCGGCAGCTTGGTCCCCCAGCTGCAGTTAGACATACCCAAACAGGCCAAATTTCCAGAAAGAGCTGAATGCCCTCTGCAAATCCAGCCCCTTTTTGGGGCATCCCTTTTTGAAAGTCTTGTCACACGGCTCAGTGGTGGTCTGAATGTAACGGCAGAGCAACAAAACCCAGGGCAGGGCTTTCTACAAGCGAAGAGGACGCCTACCTGTGCCTAGGGAGGAGAGAGCAAATCTTCTGATTCACCGGTAGAGCAACCAGTCATTAATAGCGACACCATCACACACACACACGCATGCACACACTCATTCAGAACTTGCAGGATCTTTTCTCCCTGTATTAGTTTTAACCTCCCTTTGGAGGGAAACATGGAGTTTGGCTTTTTCCATCTGGAAACACTGATTCTTTGCCTGAGGGTTTCCCAAGAAAGCCGGGGAATGGTGGGAGAGATGCACACATCTGTTTGTGCACCAACATCACACATGTCGACCATACAGGACCCGCTAAGTGACCTACTGCTGAGCGGCCGACAAAGGGACCAGGAGACTGCAAAACTTTAGAGTAGGTCCTACATAAACACTGAACAGCTGTTGCCACTGGTTGTCTTTAATGTCTCAGCAACAGAATCGTGGGTTTTCTTTTTTAATAGATGCTCAGGTTCTGGAGGACAACTGCTACTAGCTTAAATTAAAATAGTCTTGTAGAAATTTTAAGGCAGGTCAAATGTGGGGCATAAATCTACTTGGCAGCATCCCACTTGAGCACAGCCTTCCTAATGCTTTGCATTTCTATCGTGCCTTTCTTCAGAGGATTTCAAACCATTTGACAGCATTCGTTAGCCTTCCCCACATCCTGAGGGGTGCACTGGCATCCCAGGTCTTCTGGTGTGTCGATGGCAGAGCAGGAAAAAGAACCCAGGAGTCCAGGTTCCCAGTCCCCCACTCTACCCCCTAGATAACCCTCTCTCCTTCAAAGAATCTGCTCATTAATAACATCAGAATTCTTGGTTGAAGCGTGGCAGACAGGAAAGGGGAACTGGTCTGTTCTATCAGGAGACGCTTTCTCTATTAAAACAACATGTTAGGCAGTAACACAGGTAAAAGCCAGAGCGGCTGCTCAGGAATGTTTGGAGATGGGACTTGAGATGAGATTGAGGCACAGCAGTTTGCTGGCAGGTTTCAAGGTTTCAAGGGGGCACATGTGAGCTAGTTAAATCCCTGTAGGAGGCCACCTGTCACTCCCAGGCACTGGGAAAGTGGAGTTTGTTTGTGACTGGAAGAGGTTCTGGCTTCCCAAAGGAGCAGGCTGTTCTGGTCCCCATCCAGCAAAGAACTTATGCATGTTCCACGGGGCTCCTCGTGTGCTTAAAGCTAGGCACAGGGAGTGGTTAAATAAAAAATTTTACAAACCCCAACGTTAGTAGAAATGGTTTTTCCCTTTAAAGACAATTATCATTCAAGGGGAATAGAGTTCTGGGGATGATTTAACGATGCCAGGACAGTGTTTGCAACCCATACACAGCAGCGCTGGGCTAGAGGGGGGGACAAGAAGTGACTCTAACTAGAAACATGGGGCCAGATTTACAAGTGCTCAGCAGAGAATAATTCTCAAAAATGCCTAAAATGCCCCATTTTCAAACGTGACTTTGAAGTCAGATCCTCAAAGGTATTTAGATGCTAACTCTTATTGAAATCAATGGGATTTAGCTTCCTCAATTAGGTAGACATACTTGAAAATGTTACCTGCAATTCACCATCAGATTTTCAAAAGCCCTCAGGCTCCCACCGTGGCAGTGCTGGACAGATTTTCAAAAGAGCCCATCACCTGTGTGCCGGGCTCTTCTGAAATTTGGAACAGATTCGGCCATCCTTACTCATGCTCAACAGCACCTTGCTTCATGAATAGTTCCCTGGCAGAGTAAACAGAGGTATGGACAGTGGGATTGGCCCCATGAAATGAAAATGGCAAATCTATTTGCACTGTCCAAGCTGAATGAAGCTTTGCAAAATAAAACCACATACACACTGCAGTAATGGCAAAGCGCACGTTCGATTTTTTACAATGTTAATTACTTCCTGTCATCAAATTCAGCCGTTGTTGTTACAACAGGAAGAGGCATTATTTTAAATGCAACATTTTCATCTGGCACAATGTCCCTGTGAAACCAAATCTTTGTTTTTTGTACTAACCACTAGAACAATGCTTTGAAATTCATTAATGAAGACCAATAAAGTTTCCCTTCCAGAACATTAGCTACTTGAATGACCGAGACATTTGGGCTCAAGGAACCTAATGTGCTAACCCGCCGAAGAAATTCGTTGGAAAAGAGCAAATTCCAGGTTGTCTCTCTTTGCGGGAACCACATGAAGTGTAATTGACTGAAACGCCTAACCCCTGTCTGCTGTGCTGGGGATTTGGGATTATTATTCTGTGAATGTCCTGCTGCTGCTATTTTTATGCTGTCTCATCACAAGAGAACAAAGGGACCATTCTATGAAATATATGGCCAGTAGAGTTACAAAATGTAATGCTAAGGACATATTTCTTCACCTATCTATGTACCCAGATGCTTACACAGCATGCAGCCAACCACCGGAACTCCCCTCTGCAGGAAAGCAGATAGCCTAATACTACAGCTGGATAATGTTATGACCATTACGGACAACTGCAGCTATGCAAGAGCTGGAGGTGAGCAAATGGCATGTCTCATGCCATGATTGTCACAGGGGTCAGAGCTGGGTTTGAGTCGGTTTTCTGAGTGGGGAGGTAGGGGTTATTGGGTTCTACACCCACAAAGGCCTTTTTGCTCAGTGGAGGAACAGTGCGACTGTAGAGGACTGAGACATCAGGGTGACCGTCCTTGAGAGGAGCAGAGAGAACACACTGCATGCCAACGTTTGATAGAGGTGGAGGACGTGTCTCTCTCTAGTGGCTGCCTCAGGGCTCTTGGTGCGCCCCCCACATCATAGTGATTAGTCAACCTCCCTAGGACCTTTCTATGCAGACCCGAGAGCATCAGGCTGTATTACAGTAGAAGCTAGAGGCCTCAACCAAGGTCAGGGCCCCATTGTACTAGGCACCGTACATGCACACAGTCAGACACCATCACAGCCCCAAAAAGCGTACGCTGTAAACAGACAAATGGGCTGGAAGGGAAACTGAGGCACAGATTAATCCAAGATCACCTAGCAAATCAGTGGTCAAATGGGGACTAGAACACACCTCTCCTGATTTCCAGCCTAGTACCCAATCTACTAGGGCATGCTGCCTCCAGACCCAGAGCATCTCTTATTATGAGGCAGCACAAAAACTGGCAGCAAGGGGACCTGCGCAGAATAATTCCAAGTCCCCATCCCTAGAGCGAGTGGCTAGATGGACAATTATGCTCCATGTGCTCCCTTAACGGAATCCATATCTGACCCTTGATGCTCTGTGTTTACACGGAGGAAGGCAAGAACCTAGTCAGCCAGACTCAGCTATTGGCATAGTTGCAGTGGTGCATGCAAGAAGACAGATCTTTCAGCTGGAGTAAGCTGGCATAGCTCCACTGATTTCAATGTTGTTACATCCATTTACACCAGATAAGAACCTGGGCCCATCGCTGGAAGTTAGGAGCCTAGATACCTTTAAGGATCTGGGCCTGGACCCTAGCGGAGACAGGCAAAGCTGCTACACACCGGGACTGGCACCAGTGCCACTTCCCCGGTGTCAAGCTCCACCAGTGCAAAGAGCAGCTTTGCCTATCTGTGGTTTGGCACCAGTGCAGCTGGTGGTAATCAGGGCAAATCTCCTGGGTAGAGACAAAGGGAAACATTTTCAAAGGTGCTTAAGTGATTTAGGAACCTAAGTCCCATTGACTTTCAAATGGCCTTGGAAATCGAGACTCTGGCTCTTAAAACACCCAAAGCCTAATTATCGCTCTGGGTTCACCCCTGCCTGTCTCAGGCCTCTGGAGACAGTAATTTGCTTGCAGTGTGGGGTGGGATCCATTGTTCTGCGGTGATATCAGCCCTGGGTGGCTGAGGGAATGTGGCTCTCCAGGCCTGGAGTGTGTAAACATGACTCATCGAACCACACAGGGTTTTGGCAAGTGCCGGCTGAATCACTGGGGGAGGAAAGACACAAGAGCGGCCTCCCCCCGGAAAGCCGCCGTCTCACTTCCTGATCATGACACAGCAGCTGGAGCAGGCTGCAATCAGCACAGCTCACCAACAAACAAAAAGAGCCTTATGCGTTAAAATAACAACTCAGATACCAGCCCCGACATTACCTTTCCTCTCTGTTCCATGGGATCCAGGCAGCCAACACCTGCTCCTTACCCTGCACCCCTGCTCCCCACTGCACTGACCTTTGGAACTATCGGGGCAAGGAAACCACAACAACCCCGGGCTTTTTTCCTGCATTCCCTGGGCCAACATGTGCATTTGACACGCTTCCCCCAAAGGATCCCAAGAGTCTTTTTTTATGACGGGTGTTCTTTCAATGATAAATAACAACAAACAAACATCTAGATTATAAAAATGCATAGATGTGAAGGCTAGAAGGGACCACAGTCATCAGCATGTATGGATCATTTACCCAGTACTGCAATGCGGTCACCTTTGGGGTGGAACATGGCATCTGTTTAACAGTGCAAAGCAACACTGCACAACAGTTTAGGATGGGAAGTGAAGAAGACTGTTGTATCCAAATGAAACTTTGAGGCAGTGTGGACGTTTAGGGAGGACAATGGGGTTAACATCCATACTTTTCAAGTGCCATGAAACCTTTAATAACTGCAAGTGCTTTTATGTCTCATCTGAAATCAGTTTCCAAACCTGCTTTCA